CGACTTCTATGTATTTGCAATATCTGGTTACCATATGAGTCTTCCAGTTCAGTCAGTGTTTTGTCCAGAACTACGCCCAGAAAACTTGCTTTGGTTCGAAGAAAGTAATCGAAAGCGGAGATTTATATCTATCGTATAACCGATTTGTTAAGATATGAGGTTTTGAGCAAAACATACGTCAAAAAACATCTATGAGATAGTAAGCATGAGCATACGTAAGTATATACATACAAATAAACATTGTCATATTTCCCAATTTTTCAGGCATGAGATTTGATAGTTCATATTATTTTATATTATTATTAAAAGATAAATATATATATATATAATATAGTACTCCTTCAAAATACTTAACTAAATGCGTAATTAAATTTCTGTAAGTTCATCAACTACCATAACACCATAAGTCCATACGGTACATTAAACACAAGAGTTACTTTCAGAGTTTCCTTTTTAATTGCTTATTGCGTATGTATGTCATCGGCATGATAAAGATACATGAATGAATTGTCTAAATTTCTTATTTATTAATAACATTAATTTGGCTATTTAATGTCTAGTTAGCAAAAGTGTTTAAATAATTGTAATATACATAAATTCATATGACTTTTCAAAGAAAATGCAGTGCATGGCCTATGTATGTGCATACATTTGTACACAGCAATATAATCTGTCTTATTTGACCTCTATTCCTGTTACCATGGTCACACTATTACAATATTTGCAAGTCTCATATTGCAGTTTAACGTCTGAGTTAAGTAATTAATTTTCCAATTAAAATAATCTAACGAGATGTCTGGGGCGGATACGTAACTTTTTATCGTTTTTTTTTTTTTTTGAAAACCGTAGCAAATTAAATGTATCGTTTTTATAAAATTTTAAAAAAATATATAAAATTGTAGTAATCATACATGCCATTTAACTAAAAAAAAAATTAAAACATTTTTCTTTCATATTTCGACTGCTCCTCCCTGAAATTAGTAAACACATTCATTGCCCTCGACTCGCCCTTATATGCACATATTATAATGCAGAATTAATTCACTTTGAGTAACGCAAACAATCCAATATTTACATAACGAATCATTTCTGTTGACATATTAATGGCTGATCAAGTTCGCAAGTTAGCTCGATATATGTATGCGCTTGGTGTCTGTGACAGACGGCACTGCAGTTACTCACACTAATGCAAAATGATTGATACATTAATTGAATCAAATGATTAAGTAAGATGGAATGAAAGTGCATTACTCTTTGACTTGTTCTCAATTATCTTGAATGAATTATTGGGTAATAATGCTTATGTGAAGCTCTTTCGTCAACAACGTATTGGACGTAAAAATTAATTCGGTCCGTTGTTTTGTATTCGAAAAAGTGTTTTGAAAAAAGTAAAGAATATATCATACAAAGTATTGTATTCGAAAGCGACTACCCTTTCGCATCTATGGTAATTTTCGAAATGCATTTTTGAAAAAACAGTCCACCCTCTCCTTGAACCAATTATTGAATCAAAGAATAGCTTTCCTCAAAAGCCCCGAATGATTGGTGGAACCAAGACGCTCTCTGTTTGTCACAAGCACAATAAATTATATTTTCTTATAAATATTTTATATTAGTCAAATTGCTTTCACGGATCAGTTGTTGATTTTTCTACGTTTTTCACACCTTTTGTTTTTTTTTCGAAAATAAAAAGATCAAAAAAAAACTTAATGGTTATTCTATGTATTATATATTTTAGGTTGCAATATGCTTCGGTCAATTATGCGATTTTAGTTAAAGGTGACATTCACATTACAACGGTTTAAAAGATTTTTTGTTCCAAAATAGTGTTGTAAAAGTATATAACAAAAAAAAAACGAACGCTAAAATATATACAAAAGTATATAAAGTGTATAAACAAGAACAAGAGCGCTTATAAATTGCATAAAGTGTGGTATAAAACGAAGTTAAACAATTTGAATAAAACATTTAATAATCAAATAAGTATTAGCCTTGATTTTATACACAAATAATTTGTACTAAATTTTAATCAATTCATCTAATATAATATATTAATTTTCCTGAATAATTACAATAAAATCCATATTTCATTAGTTTTAATAAATAATGAAGGTAAATAACAAAAAAAAATTTAATTAAAAATTATTATTTATTATAATAAAATGACAAGTTGACTTATATAAATACGTTTTGTAACGGCTTTGGCTGATCCTTACCCACAACTTGGGTTTTGCGTCTTGATGCTTTCGCCAACAATTGGAGAGACCTGCAGTTTATTAATTCATACCAAGCCGCCCCGTGCAACTGATGAAATTTTATGAAGAATTTTTACTTCATATCAGAAAAATATTCGGAGTACTTGGCATACCCTGCCGAGAGATGACCGCAATCAGAACAATAAATAGGCGCTGTTTTCAGCGATGACGAAATCTTTACAGTTTTCATAAACTATTAAAATTTATTGCAAAACTCGATTTTGAATTTATGTGTCGAGAGTACCAAATCTCGCACTCTTAGATGTCTTTTTGACGAATTTTCGTCCCAAAACCACATAACTACAGAAATCGATTGTATGGAGTACATATATTATGGTACTCCGATTTCTTGTATGGCCCTCTATCTCTATCTCTTCTTCTGCTGGTACTTACAAATGTACATACACCATTTATTGGATACCTTCCGGATAGCGGAACGCACTGCTAACCACTCGGCTACTGCAGCGTACTTACTTACCTTATATTGACTTATATACCTTATATTTCATAGTTTCAAAGTGAGTGAGGCGGTTCCATAACACCGACACGCGCAAAAAAATATGGCTTGTAGTCGCACGACACCAATCACGGACATGTTTTTCAACCTGCTGAAACAGAATTTGTAGTCAGTTTATGTGTATTTTTTTGTTTAATTTCTTCTTTTTTGTTCTTTTACACTATTCAATTTAGTTTCCTACCTACATGTTGCTCATACGACATGGTGCACTTTCTTTTTTTAAGGCATCTTAAATTTCAATCTAAAAAAACGGCCTTTGGTCTAAGTAAGCTTTAGATTAGTTTTAAACAGATTAAAATACATCAAAATTTTAATTGCTTCACAGTAGAAGATACGAACCTAAATGGACCTTTACCGAGCTGATAATAGAATAAAATATATTTTATAACAAATTTAGTAAATTAGAAAGTATAATTAAAAAATATCTCTTTATACCTGGCAATCCAGAGTTCGTTCACGTAAATCATGGTTAATTTCATTCATACACATTCTTTAATTTTATACTTTAAATCAATATAAAACTTTTCTTATTATCTGAATTTTTCAAGGCAACATAAAAATAATTTTTCAAACAATGATTAAAAATATCCTGTACAAGATTTTTTCGCACAACCAATGCTTTTTATATATTTTTTAATATAACAAACTTAGTATAAAATATTTTTTATTTTGTTATCAGTGCTCGGTGAAGGTCAGTCTCGGTTCGTGACTTCCAAAAAATTTTAAATATCGAAGCATCCAATTATTCTATTTTTACGGTTTTAACATTTACTGAATTTTGAAGGCTACTCGGCCAAACTTATTAAAGATTCGGATTTAATGGTTTGAAAAACTTGTCCTTAAACAAGTGGGGTCTGGTGTACAAACCATTCTTATTTATTTATTTATTTATTTTTTTTTTTTTGTCGGTGAAATTAAGGTCGAGCTTTGCCTCATTGCTCGAACGATTTACATTGTTATACTCTATTTTCAAGATTAATCTTTAAGCTATATTCAGACAAGTATTAAGCGTCATTGGTTAAAAAATATGTTAGTAAAAAAAATTAACACATTTTATTTTCTGATTGCTGAAATAAGCAAAAATTGCAATCAATATCAATCAATTACGTAAATCCCTTGTTTTCGACACCAATTTATAAATTTCTTGTAAAATTCTAATCATCCTACCAATACTTGCAAAATCAATTTTGTAAACAGGTGGCAACGCTAAAAAAATATTTTCTCATTAAGCCTTTCTTTAATCTCTTCCATATTGATTGTTTTATTTACTTTATCACTTCTTCAAAATTAAACTTCAATACCGATTTATAAATCTAAATCATTCTTGAGCATACTTCAGTACAAACACACACACAAAATCATCAAAATAGGCTACGCCATTTAGCTTGAGTTCGGTGAAACTTATAGAATATAATTATATTTAGACTATTTCAAAACCGGTGGCAACTTTGCTGAATTAAATATCCACCATCTATGACTTCTTCGCCTCGGAATTGAGGAATGTTGATGTGAACGACTCTTGGTTCAACAAGATGGCGCTACATGCCATGTTGTCAACGAAACAATCAATTTATTGAGGAGAACTTTCGGTAAGCGCGATGATGCAATTTAATACCGCTGAACAAATCCAAGTGGTCGAAAATTGGCCCTCTCGGCAAGCGTGGCGTAATGGCAAGCTCATATCTTTATAATAAAGCTTAATTAATATTTAACAATAATATTAAATTATATACGCTTTTCTTCTTCTTGAAAACCTTTAAAATCTTAAAAACATCATTTATGAAACACATATTAAAAATCTTCCTGTAAATATATTAAATAATTTAAAATTAAATTCAATAAAAACTTTTTCAATCAATTTATAAATTTCTAAACGCAAAACACTTCAAAAACAATTTCTTTTAAAAATATTCATTTCAAGCACAATCCTTTCACTCGAACCACAAAACTGTATCACTCAATTCGTCAGTTTTCAAGGCGCGCAACACAAAGTTATAAATCACAACCTCAAATTATCAACATATTTTTCATTTCGTCAGTCAGCCAAAGCAGACCAAAAGTTAAATTAATCAAAACCAAAAATTACGTTAAAACTTAAAGATAACCTTTTTTGCAACAGTCTTGTATATACTCCTCAGACATACATACATACTAGCTACATTCATTCTTCACTTTCATTCTTACCATCTTTCAGAGCTGCATGCAAATGGCTTTGATTTATCAAAAACGGAAGATGGCAATTTAATTAATGGCGCTAGTCATCAGTAAATAAATATATTTACAAACAAACAGCTGCCGAAACCGTACTAAGTATGCAAGCATATAAAATACATATGTACATACATACGCATATATATATAGATAATGAGTAAATCAATTCTTTTAGTTCTTCCCCCACCCGCCGAGCGTTTTGTTACGCACATCTGTCATCAAAAATGTATGGTTTACTATTGGAGAATCTCTCCGAGTATATTAAATCGGTATATGGCGAGGAGAAATGGGAAGATATTCGTCGTCAAGCTGGTATCGATTCGCCATCGTTCAGCGTACATCAAGTTTATCCGGAGAATATGTTAAATAAGCTGGCGAAAAAGGCGCAACAGGTATGTAAGAGATTGAAAGAATGATATATTGATGTGTAAAACAACAAACATTGCATATATAGGTTCATACTTACGTACATTAAGGAAAACCTTAAGGCACTAAATCTTTTGTGTCGAAGGAAATGACAGCGATGGGAGTACATGGTTTTGTTCCTACACATATACTTATGCATACATACGTGTATATTATGATGAAGAAATCGAGATGTTGGTACATACGAGTACATATGCTTATATACGATGTATGGATGTACAAATAAATCAGTTTAGCTAAGTTTGTTTCTAGTCAGTGCAGCTAATAAGCCCAACTCCTTTGCATAGATCCGTTAGGAACAGTGGAGTGCCAAGTATAACCAGGTCCCTCTCCACCTGATCTTCCTGGGCTTCCACCACATGACCTAGCCAACATGGCAGCAGCTTCTTGATTCGCTGAACTTAATGACGCCGTACTCACCGTTATCAATGCGCAAAGTACCATAAATCTACCGCAAAACCTTTTACTCAAAAATTTCCAACGCCGACTCAGCAGATGTTGCCATCATTGATGCCTCTACACCATATAACATAACGGAAACGATGAGCAACTTCTAGAGTTTGGTTTTCGTTCGTCGTGAGAGAACTTTACATTTCAATTTCCTACTCAGTCCATAGCACAATCTATGACATGAGTGATTTTGCGTTGAATTTCAAGGCTGAAACTGATGCTTGGATTAATGCTGGTTCGAAGGTAGACGAAATCAGTAGCAGTACCTGTATACCCTTATAGAAGATTCTACCTTCTCTATTCAGCCTTGCAGCTCGTATTATTTTCTCTCTACTCTAAGGGCAAGTCAACCGACCCAGCACTACAAGATATAATTTGACTCTCAACGTCATGCTTACTGAATCTGTAAGAGAAACTCTTCAAAAAATGAGCTTATTACAACCCAAGGTGAAGCTTATGGAGTCTAAGAAATAAGATCATCTCAGATGGGCAGTGCCTTTATGACCACGCCAACTACAAGGATCATCCTTCAAGGAGGTGTCTCATGCTGTGGCATATGCTAACGACATTGCCGTAACAACGCCAGGAAAACACCTCCATGTGATGAAGATCGCTCCCTCTACCGAAGTCAAATATTTCGGTATAACCTGAGATAGCAAACTCAACTGGAGCCGTAATACGGTCATTGGCAAGAGATAATGTCAAGGATCGAAAATTATGTATATAATGGATTTACACAGCGGAAGTTAGAACAATTCTATTCTGCGGTGTCACGGTGTGATGGCCGGCACTCGAAAGAGTTGATTTCAGAAGCAAACTAATATAGAGGCTCATCCAGCGACTGCTTCAAATTCCTTGGAAATTCTCCTCAATTACCTTTCTCTCGACCAAACTACAAGCGAGCTGTAATGTAATTAGATAAAACGGAATTGCCGTGCAGGACACACCAAAATATTAACTCTCGCAGAGGTGCAGGAGGAGCTAGATTGCACCACCTCCCGTGTTTACTGCGACATTCCATGCAGTGAGCGACCAGACCATTGCAGCGACTTTCAATCTGAACTCATTGCTGACGAGCCTTGACAATTTTTTTTAGTTTTTTTCCGGGAAAAGAATGTCAAGCCCACCGAGTGCTTTCTGTCGTGAAATAAGAGATTCTTAGAATTAACTGTTGGTCAATTCAAATTGAAGAAGGAGCCTGACTGCTTGGCCACTTCCGCTATCGCAAAACTCCACTTATTTTTCAATTTGCAAATGAAAACAGAAACTTTTAGTTGTCGGTTTGATCAGGATTCAAAAACACCAGCTCCTTCGGCTACAGCGACCTACCCCCAAACTTATTAACTAAATTTAAATAAAAAAATTGCGTAGAACAATTTTCATTTCTACAACTCCATCTTTCAACAGGTACTGGGTGTCTCCGAACATGAATTTATGGATCAAATGGGCGTGTACTTTGTCGGATTTGTTGGCCAATATGGGTACGATCGCGTACTCTCCGTACTCGGTCGACATATGCGTGACTTCCTCAACGGTCTGGATAACCTGCATGAATACTTAAAATTCTCATACCCACGCATGAGAGCACCATCATTCATTTGCGAAAATGAGACACGACAAGGACTCACATTACATTATCGCTCCAAGCGACGTGGTTTCGTCTACTACACAATGGGACAAATACGCGAGGTGGCCCGACACTTCTACCACAAGGAGATGCACATTGAACTTGTGCGCGAGGAGATACTCTTCGATACCGTGCATGTGACATTTCAATTGACATTTGATAATCGTGCATTCACACTGGCATCGCTGGCGATGACGAGGGAGGAGAAACATTTGCCCATTAGCGCACATGTCCTGTTTGAGATATTTCCATTTTGTATTGTATTTGGGTAAGTATGCACATGCACTCTTAAGTAGCACCCAAGTGGGTGGGTGTCACGACACATTTTATAGTCGGCTGGCCGCAAATTCAGCCTGCCCGCCAGTTATTTGATTATTGCAGTGGCTCTCTTATGGTGGTTGGATTTTAATTATGTGGCACAGCAGTGCAATCGAGTGCGTGCACGTTAAGTGGGGCAAATGCATTAAACGCAGCTGTTGCCAACGTTAAACTGGTCGCTGCTGCACTTTGCCCCGCAAATGCTATGTGCTGCTGACTTTCCGTTTAATTTTCTTTCCACTTGCATGCGACTGCTACAATTTTACTGTCTACTTCCAGTGCCGACATGGTCGTGCGTAGTATTGGTAATTCTCTAATGGTAATTCTACCCGACTTGCTGGGGCAGAAGATAACAGCTTGGTTCGATTTGGTGCGTCCATTAATTGCCTTCAAATTCCAAACGGTGAGTATGCTATGTTTGCTCATGTATGTAGTGGCTGTTAATTAGCTTGGTACCGTAAATTAGTTGCCACTGATTGAATGTTGGTTAACTAAAATTAACCTAGAAATGGAAGGTCAATTTTAAATCCAGAAGCGTCTTTTAAACAATCAGTCAACACACTCAGCTACCTCTCTTAATGAGAACATAAAAATATTCATTTTTCACTCTTATCGACAGATTTTAAATAGAACAAATAATATTTTCGAACTGGTCACAGTAGAGCCGGTAACCGATCGCGTCGATATCCAGCCCTCTACAGAGTTACTGCTTCACGACGATGGATCAGAGCCAGAAAAGACACTGCGTTTGAAAGGTAATTGTGATTTGACTAACAATATATATAAAAAACCGAAACCATTCAGGGGCCGTTCTAGGTTTCATAAAATCGGTAGAATGAGAAAAAATTGGTTATTCGAAGATTTACGACAACAATAGGCACGAATTCAACCGAAATGTTCACAAGATTACCTCATACGATCTGTTCGTAGCCGAAGCGAAAACCGGAAAAGCCTTGAAGTCTGCTCTTTAATAAATTGGAGCATCTCTTTATTAGACATATATACATATAATAGACGTTTTGTATTCTCTGAAGGGATTTTCGGTCGGGCTCTTCCTCCAATTCTTGGTGTGAGTCTTGATATTTTTCCAACAAATGGAAGGATATGAAGTGCGTTCTAAGCCGCCTCCGCCTGGCTGATGGATTTTTAGCCAAAAATATACTGAAAGTGATGGAGTTTCCTATACATATGTGACAGCCGCATTCTTTATTTTCATATTTTCTGGATGCTGGATTTTAATCTAAGCCCGGCAAAATCAGATAATCGTCCCATTACGAGAAACATAACGGCATATAGCTTCAAACGAAATAACTCCTACTCTGCCTATGAAATAGGGAAGATGTAATGAAAATTCGAGACGAATTGGATTGCGCTGAGGCCGCTGGCGAGACCGCCACCGATTACCACAGAACTTTCAGCGCATTCAATTCTGATATAATAAATATATTCATTACCCCCCCCCCCCCCCCTCCCTAGGATAGAGTGGCAAAGTGCAGAGAGCGCATAGAAGAGGATGATATGCTGAGGACGTAGAGTCTTTCACGCAACTTCAAGATCCAGCTTTACGGTGTTGGTTTGGAATCTTCTTCTTTTTCTTCATTACCTTAGACACCGTTTAGGTGGCTGCAGCCAAATCAACAGTAGCGCGCCATTCGTTCCTTCTCTCCGCTGTTTGGTGCTATTTGGAAATACCAAGCAAAGTCAGGTGCTCTCCCCCTGATCCTTCCAGAGGAGTGAAGGTCTTCCTTTTTCTCTGATTTCCTTTCAAAGATGGAGTGCTCATCAGATGTCGGCATCGACCATGGTACTGACTTGTTGAGAGAGAACTTTACTTTCCAATCGCCCACTCAGTTCAAAATAGTGCTCTTCCCTGGTTAGGCGAAGTTATCTAAAACTTAAAAGTTATGACTGTCAGCAGTGCCGTGGAGCCCCGTCACGAATGATGTGGCTATTTGTTTGATGACATCAGATATTTCACCTTTTCATCGATTACTACCAGATCCATCAAGTCTGAAGCTAGAACTAACTGCGCGGTTTATAACGCCAAGTATATCAATACCATTGGCATACGCCAGCAGTTGGAATCTCTTGTATCTTACCTAATTAGCTCTACAGCACTTATTACTTTCTTCAGCATCAATTAGAAGCAATCACTGCATAAAGATTAATCCTGTCTGAAACCTCGTTTGGTACCGAACGGCTGGAAGAGATCCTTCCCAGTTCCAACGGCTTCTGGTATTGTCCAGCGCAAGTTTTTACAGACGAACAAATTTTGCTGGATATAATTTTCCAACCAACGTTAGACCTGCACTACAGCAGAATTTATCCAAGTAGCTCAACCGTAGTTATTTTAATTAGGTCTAAAGGACAATGAGGAAATAGCGAAAGCTCCAGGGTTTTGGATTTTTTAGTTTGATTAAATTGGTCTTAAACATTTCCCAAATTTTTAATTGTAAAAATTATAACATTAGGACAAATGGTTTACATGGAAAATTGGCGAATGATCATGTTTCTGGGCACACCAGTTATGCCTGATCTTAATTCGCTCATTACAACCGGTCTTTACATCAACGATTTGTCAATGCATGACTTCAGCAGGTAAACAAAAAGAGATGGTTAAATACTTTCACTAGACAAATAAAATTCTATTTGCTATCCACTCTTCACAGAGATCTCATGTTAGCCGGTACTCAGCAGTCGGTCGAACTCAAATTAGCGCTCGATCAGGAGCAACAAAAGTCAAAGAAGCTGGAAGAGTCTATGCGCAAGTTGGACGAGGAGATGCGGCGTACGGATGAGTTGCTCTATCAGATGATACCGAAACAGGTGGCCGATCGATTGAGACGTGGAGAGAATCCCATTGACACATGTGAGGTAAAATCAAGCTTTTTAATAACAGCTTCATCTAGCCACGACCAATTTCATGCCTTTAAACTCTTTTTGCGCAGATGTTCGATTGTGTGTCAATACTCTTCGCCGATGTGGTCACATTCACGGAAATCTGCAGTCGCATTACACCCATGGAAGTGGTGTCCATGCTTAATGCTATGTATTCCATATTCGACACTCTCACCGAGAGGAATAATGTCTATAAAGTGGAAACAATTGGCGACGCCTACATGGTCGTGTCAGGTGCACCAGAAAAGTCTGCTAATCATGCGGATAAAGTTTGTGATATGGCCTTGGATATGGTGGATGCTATAACCGATCTGAAAGATCCTTCCACTGGCCAACATCTACGTATACGTGTTGGTGTGCATTCCGGCGCCGTAGTGGCAGGCATTGTCGGATTAAAAATGCCAAGATATTGTCTCTTTGGTGATTCAGTAAACACAGCATCACGCATGGAATCCACGGGTTACGCTATGAAAGTGCACGTATCCGAGCCAGCAAAACAATTTCTCAGTCCTTGTTACAAATTGACCGAGCGTGGTGAAATTGATGTTAAAGGAAAGGGTCCCATGAAGACGTACTGGTTGGAGGAACGTGAAAATCGCAAATCGTTGCAATTGCCACCCGAACTATTTCATCCGATTTCAACATTTACTGCGCCAACGGCTACAACGGCCACATCCAATCCGTCAACAGCGGCGTCAACATCCGATCGTCGCTTGAGTGTTTCACAAACGTTGAAAGCCATTATGCCTGCGGCTGCTCAGCCGGTTATAGGATCGGTTGAACGTATGCAATTGGCTAATGCCACAAGTGCCATGATCAATTCGATGGATGCAGCGAGTGCCGCTAGTGCTGTGTCACCGCCACAATCTAGCGCTGGTAAGGAGCGAGGACGTATTTATTCGCCTGTGACCTTTACGGATGTAGCGCGCCGTAGCATAGCCAATTCACCTGTACGTAATACGTTTGGAAATAATGAATGTGGTCGTGAATCGCGATCCAATTCAATGGGACATGTTTTCATGCGTTCGCCCAGCGATATTTTTGGATCACTCATTTTGGACACCGAAGAATTTTTAGAAGATTTGCAATACTCACGAAGTTCGTTAGTGAATAGCGGTACTTCCACTTCTGTATGTCCCTATAGTCCTGCACCTACTTTTCGTATAGGCAGTGCACCGTCCAAGCCACGACCTAACAATCCCGATCAATTTACACCTGAGGAATTAGCTGCTATGGATCAGGCGACCCCGCCATCGACGGCACCACCACGAGAAACAGTCACTTGTAAAGTAGCACCCAGCACATCATCGGCGTCGTTGGAAAAATCTAAGGCTAGGTAGGTGGCAAAGCACGTTGACGATTTCGTTCAAGTAGATTTGAGTCAAAATAAATTTTCAAGCTCGTTGGAAGAATAGATCAGCTTCGTTTTTATATATGCCTTTTGAGGATAGCTTACTAGTGGTACGTCATAGTTAAGGTTTTGAACATTACTTTTCTGTGCCTAACACTCGTTGCATACAAACTATCATCCAATTCTATCTCGTATCTAAGCCCAAATGTTTGTAATGGAGTCGATTGTTTCCACTTTAAATTCTTTGCACGAAGTGTACCATAAACTAGGGTCACCACAATGATAATTTCATCCAAATCCGCGTCGAAGTCGTATTTTTCTAAATTCTTTTATTGGCACCCGTTTCCAGGGGAAATGAAACAAGACCCAAATCGTAGTTCAATAGATGAAACGATCGACTTCGTGTGAGGCAGTGAATGTTAGCATGTGTTTGCACCGATAAGTTCACATTTTCTCTTTTCCAATTTATATGTACGTGTATATATAATATGTACCTACAAAATTACAACTATTTTTTCTGCATAAATTTATGTTTCTGTATGTACATACATTTGAGCCACACTTTTTGCACTTCTGAATAATTTCTTTTCCTAATTAGAAAAATCACATTTTCACGTAGCCTAACCATACCACAAGAACCGGTGGTTTCACCACCACCACCGCCACAGCAACAGAAGAAGGAACAAGTAAAACTTCAAAGTACAAAACCTCTGAATACTCCAATCTCGACCGTGACCTCCGTATCGGTACCCGTACTACCCAAAGCAACTGCAATTGCCATTCCGACAACGTCAAATGTGAAGTCCACGTCAGCAACCAAAAACATATCCTTCGGCAGCAGCCGTACATCATCGCGGGAATCACTTTCGCCGTGTTCACCGCCCATACGCTCCAACTCAGCACCACTACCAATGTCTAAGGCCGCACGCAAAGCGTTCCTCGCTGCCAAGCAAACAAAGGCCATAGAAAAATTGGACCGAATGATTGAAGAGGCGAATGAAGTTGATGTACAAAATAAGAGAGCAAATATGAGGCGTATGGCTGCGTTTCGTGATGAAGGTGGTGGCGCCGATGGTGGCTTGGGTGGAGGTGGTGGCTGTCCGCTCTTTCTGCCACCACCGCCAGGTCCACAAATGACGAATTCACTTTCGGATTCAGGTCTTGCGCATCATGGGTAAGTGGAACAATTTTCGATTGAAATAAATTTTTTATAATAATCATATATTTACATACGTATATTATAAAGGGTGTTCTTTTAGACATGTGGTTTTTAAGATAATATCAAACCCACTATGTTTAAGAAATGATTTCGAGCAAAAGACCGCCACGGTTCGCTCGAATAAATTTCGGCAGAGGAGCTCAATTTGTGTAGCAATTGGATCCGTATGTCAGCGATAACGCCCCCCCACGTCAATCGTCCGGCTTATCTGCGTTGGCAAGCGACTTCTCAGGATCTTGGAGGCTAGTCATAGGCCCACGACGCGAGTTATGCGCTCACTAAAACTTTCCTTCAATAAATGGATTGTTTAGTTGGCTGTGTGGCATAAAGCGCCATTTTGTGGAACCAAAGGTCTTGGACATCAACATCCTCCAATTCAGGCACGAAATTAATCATGACTCTTCAGCGTTCACCGTTGACTATATATCAATGCCGGTTTCATGGCCAATGAATACCTCTGCCCACAGAGCATACAAAACAGTGGATTATCATCTCTCCAAATGCGAGCCACATCAATAAACAATATTTTCTTTGAAAATCGGGATCGGTGACCGAAAGTGTGATGTCCTTCGGCTCGACTCTTCAAGGGTTGGATTTTGAAAATCCGCAAACGAAGATTCTTCTGACGAATTTTCCATAAAGTGAATGAACAGCTCCAATGGTTGTGCGCAACGGCGGCTGAACTCATTGGGATCTTCTTCGATACACTTCTCCACTAGAGTTAACCGATCCGTGGTTACTTGAATTACCGACTCTACTGCGCGATCATGTCGACCGAATATTGTACGCAACGCGCGATGCGTCACACACACCACCACAATACTTTTGTAATAAATTTGCAAGATATGCAAACGTTGTTTCGGGGTAGGTCTATTCATTACGAAATGGCAAACCAAACAGAGTAAAAGTATTGTGTCATTGAAAATCTCACGTCAAAAAAGAACACCCTTTATATCATATGTGACACAGAAAAAGCAAATTTGGCATTGTCTTTCACTCTCCTTCCTTACAGCCACAACCACAATTATTCGCAAATGCACTATGCCACTTGCCACCACACTCATGAGCCGAAGATGTCAAATAGTCATAGTTTCACACATTCACGGGCCACAGCTCATCAGTGTTGTACGGGCTATAATCACTCAAACGGACGGCATCGTGTGCATTCCAATGCATGTCAATTGTTGTAAAGGCGACTATCGCAATAGTCTTTGATATATATATGTACATACGAGTATGTGAGTAAGAGATGGCTGCAGAAGATCACTTGAAAATTAGTTCGCGTAAAATTAGGAAATATGTGTATTCTCCGTATAGGAAATTGTATCTTTAACCTGTTCAAGTGGAGTAAAATAGAAATAGCAAAACTGATGAAGAATTTACATTTTTATAGCGAAAACTTTATCTGCATAAATAGGTATACCTCAAACTCTTTTAGTTTAAATCAACTAAAATTTATAGGAAATGATGCACTAAATGACACAATCTGCAGCACTACACTTCTTCTTTAGAGAGCCAGACACCGCTTACTCGATTGTAGCCTAGTTAGCAACAGTGGGGTATTCATACCTTCTCTTCGCTGCTTAGCGCCAGTTGGAAGTACCAAGTACAGCCAGGTTCTTCTCCACCTTGGTCTTCGACGTGGAGATCTTTCTCTGCATCTGCTTTCACCAGCAGGTACTGCAACAAAAACTTTCAAAGCTAAAGTATTCTTTGACCAACCAACTCCATCGCAGTGTTTACCATTCCCCAAATCTACGCCAAAACCTTTCTTTCGGAACCTTCCAACGCCGATTCAAACATTGTTGTCATCGTCTAAGCCTCTGCACCATACAGCAGTACGGAAATGAGGAGTCAATTGTAGAGTTTGGTCTTTGTTCGTCGAGAGGAAACTTTATTTTTCGATTGCCCACTCAGTTCGAAGCAACACATCTTGGCAAGACTGCTGATTCAGCGTTGGATTTGGATGCTGTTGTTCGTAGATTGACGAAATGAACCTATAACTGCCAAAAGTGGCATGAGCCTAAGGCTCTGATTGTTTGTTTGACCACAAGAGGTATTTCGTCTTGTTGATCATCAGCATATGCCAGCAATTATACGCTCTTGCGGTAGACCGTTCTTTGGCTGTGTATCACGAATTATTTACTCTAGGGTTAAAGAAGGCTGATGTTTTGTGAGGATGCAAAATTCAGTTGTCACGAAAGTATCGCTCTACTATCGATATAGATATGTGATTGTTGTTGTCTGAACCTCAGAAATATTTCTCAAATTGATTGATGCGGAATATTGTGGATGTAATGATCCTTGACCGGGTAAAAACTTGAACCGGTCCGATATAAAAACCCGACTGTCGCAAGAACTATTGAATTCTATTTGCCTTTTGTGACCGGTTTTAATGAGAGGAACCTAGATCCTTGCATAACTTTACGCTTTGGTTCATAGCTTCCTTCCATTTGAGTTCTTTGCTTTCTGATGTGTATTCTCAAGTGGTGAGTGGGGTGATAGGGCTTGTTGCGTGTAATACAAATCATATGGTTATTGTCTTCGTATCCCTGATCTCTCTGCTCTATCCGTCAGATGCCTTAAATGTCATCATTTTTACATTATATTAATTATTTTATGTTATTCACTCGCCTTCTTCAAAAAAAAAAGCTTAATACAAGCTTTAAACATCCTATAATCCTACCATTCTCCTAGATATTTGTGACGATTTCTAGATAAGGCCAAACAGAAAGAGCGGAGGTATCACTGCTAATATGACCCAATCTGTTTACCTGGAATGCCAATAGGTTGCGGCCCGTCATTAGGTCAACACTGTCCCAGTTTTATTTTCCATTATCTTGTGCATGTCGCTAATGCATTCCAACTCACTCTGTTCCGGCATCCAGCTTTTTCGGAAACTTCTTTACCCATAGTTTTTAGCGACTTTTGTATATTCTGTACTCGTTTGGATTTTGGATACCTCATCAGCTTTTTCGATACCCATAATACTCTCGTAGCCTGTAACCACGTATGTATATTTGCAGTCGTTTATCCTCGGCCATCCTGTGTACTGCTTCGCTTCTAAGGACATTTTCTGACGTCATACAATATGAGATTATTGCCTTCTGACTGTCGTCATATGTATAAGTTGATATTTTGCATATAATTTTCTGCATTGCTCGCTATCTCAATCTCAGGAGCTTTCCACTTCATCAGTCATTTTTGATCCAACAGTGTAGATGTTATATGCTCCACAAGCGAAACGCATGTCCTTGCGCCAACCGTCATCTTTAAACGTAACTCAAAACACTCCATCCCAGATAAAATAAGGTATCTATCCTCCATGCGCCTGCATATCTAACGTGCATGAAGGTTCTAGCGGAACTTAACTCAAGGCTATTAATGTCATGACTAATTTCGCTGCAATGCTTTTCACGGCGATGCCGATTGGTGGTCGGTCAAGTAACTCTTCATGAGCCGCCATCGGAGGGATTCTTATGTCCACATAGAATTTTAAAAAAGGAACTTTATCTAGAATTTTGCTCAAATTCTATGTAAAACCTTTTTATCTATTTGACAACGTGCGGTAAATAAACGCTTCAAAACTTTGTATGGGATCTACAACAGAAAGAGAGTTAAAAATAAAAGAAAAATTGAAAACAGAAAATTGAAAACTAAAAAAAAATATAAAAAAATGTTAACTATAAAAAATATTAATATTATCACTAAACATTATGGAGAGGCTAAACTTCGTTTCCAGGAGAGATTGCAAAGGCTTTACTGAATGTTATAATCAAAATCGAGCTTTTAAAACATTTTAGATATTTAATTATTTATTGAATGTTTAATTTATGTATTAACTAAAAGAAGTAGATAAAATGTGTGTATATTTATGTAAATGTATATATGTGAGAAAAATATAGTTAATTCACACATGAGATAGAGAATAAAAAATAAATAAAAAAAAAAATAAAAAAAAAATTACAAATAAAAATAAAAAATAAAAAATAACAAATAAAAATAAGAATACCTCTTCTAACGACAATACGCGAATGAGCTAAACAAACAGTACGAGAATTGAAGAAATTAGGAAAATGGAAATAAGATATTAACAAAAATGATGAATTAATTAAAAATAACAAAAATTTCAAGTTAGGATATTTGAATTTAAAAAAAAATTAAAAACTAAAAAACTTTTTGTGCACCAAATAAAATTCTAAATGTTGAGGTAGAGAGCATACACACTTCATTTGCCTTCTACTGCAGACTAAAGTCAATATATGTATGTCTAAATATAAAAAAAAAAAATTACTAAATAAAATAGTAAAATACATATCCCATTAAAGGAAAGAAATGTACAAAAACTGGAAATTACTCCGAAGAAAATATTTTTCTAGTAATGAAAGGCTAAAGAGAAAAAATTATATTATTAGAAAATATTTAATTGGTTTTTATTTTATTTTTAGACTAAAAATAAACAATAACAATGTCGTATAGTACAATATATAGGCTAGGAGATCGTTATTTGTTCCAAAATGTTTGTAAATATATGTATGTATTTCTGTTTGTCAGTTTAATTGAAAGTAATCCAAATGATTTGCATTAATATAAATTTGCTTTTAATAAATCTATGTATATATGTATACATATAGACTATATATTTGTGATGTTCCAGTGCACATATACACATAATAGCAAAATAATTGGATTACCTTGTATTGTGCAGTGCATGAAATCAAAATAGTTTTCAAAAATACTGTCATTGTTGTGCTTTGTTACATTTAAGAAGCTTTGTGAGTGAAGAAAACAGCTTAAATATGTGAAAATAAAAATTCTTTAAAGGTATAAAGTAAAAGAAAAAATAAAATAAAAAGGTGTTAAACTTTAATTCAGGTACAGATTGACAGGATTAAGGACAGGTTGTCTAAAAAAAATTCAAAAATCGAAATTTTCAAAAATCGAAATTTTCAAAAATCGAAATTTTCAAAAATCGAAATTTTCAACAAAAATCAAAATTTTCAAAAATCGAATTCAAAAATCGAAATTTTCAAAAATCGAAATTTTCAAAAATCGAAAATTTTTTTTTCGTGTAAATTACTAGAAAATACTCTTGGAAATAATACAGAATTAGTCCCGAAGATCCGCAAGGCCAAGCAGTAAGTATAGAAGAGGAGAGAGCGGAGCGCTCCAAGCGGTAAATCCGGCCGCTCGAGCACTTTATATCGAAACCACGTCTTGACACACATATTTCGAACCTATTGAAATCATCAACATGAACTAAGCGGCATTTTTCTCCTAAAATGTGTGGTTATGGTCGGTAGGTACTAGAACCAAAAATATTCATTCTTATTTTAAAAACAATTAAAATTGTAAAAAGTGGAAAAAATTAAAAAGTCCGCCAGTGTATTATCTTTTTATGAAAATGTTTTAATGTAGTTCCGGTCATAGGCAATGTGATACAGAATAATAACCCGCTTTGATTTTTGCTTTCAAATAATTCGTTTTACAGTTATCGTGTCACTCACCAACAAAAGAAACGTGTTTCAGCAGCAATTTAAGAGCCGCCATAAAAAAAAATCCATTAATATTTTTATACGTCGAATTATCTAAAAAAAAAAACTTTCATTTAATTCATAAATTTTTTTTAATAAATAATTTTTTTTTAATAAATAAATTTTTTTTAATAAATAATTTTTTTTTAATAAATAAATTTTTTTTTAATAAATAATTTTTTTTTTTTAAAAAATCAATTTTTTTTTTTAATAAATAAATTTGTTTAAAAAAACACGTTTTTGGAGGAACCTGACCTTAAAGGGAGGAAAAGATTTTAATAACATAATTTCATTTTACCAAATTGGTTTTCCACCTCATTTTAGAATTCTGTGTTCGACAAAAATTTTTACTTTCCTTTTAGCTTTTTATTACTTTAAGCAAAATAAACAATTTTCCAGTTGATTTTGAAGGAATTTAAATAAATATTCTTATTTAGGTTTTACATAGTATTCACTCACTCTTCGCGGCATTTTTTCGTATAGAAAGGTTTTTTTATTTTAGAATTTTTCTACAAACAAATATATTTTATATATGTAGATTGCATTGCTCGCGCTGCTGTGAAACAAGAAATATAATGCTTCGCAAGCATATTAAAAGTTATTTTAATTTTTCTTCAGCTTTTTACATTTGTACATATATAAATGCAATGGTGTATATTTAGTTTGCTGTATGTTATTAATATCTATTTATTAATATTTTTTAATTTTTTTAAACTTGTCTCGTTACAAGCAAAGCTTTCTTACAAAATTGCTTTAAAATTTCTAAGATAAATTGCTTGGGAATGTGCTATTAAGTGCAGTAAAATATAATATTTTGTAATCTATGTACATCGATTGCATATATGTACTTACATACACATGTATTATGTAAAGCGAGTGTAAATGTGTTTATTTGAACAATGGAGCATATCACAATAACATTTAAAGCTAAAACAAATGCATCTCTCCTCTCTTGTTTTTTTTTTTGTTTGTTTGAATTTGTAAAAATTTGTAACTTTTGTAAATAATTTTAAATATATCATTTCAGGCAGTTTTAGTTGTAGTTAAAGTTAAATTGTTACTGAAATTGTCACAAAATATTGACTAGAATCAGGTGGGTTACATAATGTTCAATTTTCCGTTTCAGTAATGACTTAAAACACTTTACTAAATTTCATAGAATGTAGGTGCCGATGTATATTCGTTGTTATTATAAATCACTGTGCCCTCATTGGTTTCAATGGTTTTGATGAGTGTTTTGCAATAGAAGCACACTTTCGAGTTCATTAGATGTTGCATAATGCAATTGCTGCACGATTGATGTTTACACGGCGTAAAAATAACCGTAATTGGCTTGGCACAGCAAATCGGACAAAGTGAATCCTCCGAAGGCAATGTAATATCAGAGAGTAAAGACTGCTTTAGACGTAACATTTCTATTAGACGACGCACCTCGTCAATTTCCTCAGGTGTTACGTGTGTTGGATCTAGAGCGAAATAAAGGTGAGTCAATTTTAAAAATTGTTGTAAAACAAAAAGTAATTTTCTTTACGCACAATCAGAGAGTGCAAACTTGATAATCGGCGGATCGGCGCGTATCCTTTTCGATGATGTCGATGGCACTGCCACACGCACATCATTAGTTAATGGATCGATATGTGCGCGTGTTTGTGGATCGAAATTTCCGCGCGGTATTTCAGCTTGTTGCAATATAGGCGTTTTAATTTCGCCTAAAGCAAACTCCAAATTGGCAAATTGGAAACTGGGATCGGTGAGTAGGGCACGTGTAATGCGCGTCACCTGTGCAGGAATGATAGGGATCAATTATTTATTATTTTTACTTGTATTTTTGTAGTTCACCTTTTGTGGATTACGATCTGTATCGAGTTCACTGCGCAATAATGCTAGCAAAATGCCAAGCGCCGCGGTAATGATGGGGAAGTGAGTTACAGAATTCAAGTCTGACGAGCACATATCGACAATGAATTGAAAGCAACCCGGCGGCACGGTGACACGCGATAAGACTTGACTAATTAATTGGCACACACGATTCAATATCAAATCACTATTGGAACGTGAAGGTTCCTGAAATATTTCTGGCGCCACTGTGATGACCATTTCCAGACAACGCATCAACGAAACGGTCAATTCGAAACACATCGAACAGATTTTCAACTGTTTTGGTTCAAAAACGGCATTCTCCTGACGGTGTGCAGTATTTTGAATCTGAAAAGGCACATAGTATACACGTATTAAACATTTATACTTAAAATGTGTATCATTTTAAAATGTAAACCTCTTGCAATAGTAAAATAAACTCCGAAAATGCCCAATTCAATTGACTCAGCACCGAGTTCAAAAAAGCTGTCGCGAATGGCTCATCTTCTTGCAACTTTTGCCCGATTAATTTTTGAAAGTGACGCGAAGGATTTGCTGGCGCAATGTGATGCAGTAGGCCAGTGTGCGTTTCGTTTTTGGCACGACTACGACATAGACCCATTTGTATTGGCTGATTACCGCCTTGCCATATGCTCGGTTGACGTGAATCACGATATGCATAGCCATCACCAAGCCAAAAACGCAATAGCAGCCAATTACTTTGACCCCAGGCACGATTTTCATATGGACGTAAAAGCGATCGGACAAGCGCGCTTTGACTTAAACAATAAAATAGAAAAAGCAGTAGTTGTTATATTAAATAATGCACGTAACGCACATAACACATATACGAGTACACACCTTTTCTTGGGTGAACGCTCTAGTGCGCGTATGCCCGCTTTATGACAGGTCAATGTTCCTAGTGCCTGCAGTAAAGAATCCTTGCACGAGGCCAAAATGATACGCGCATCAGCAGAGTGTAAGCTTAGAAACTCAGCTGCGGCATTAACAGCACACTCGGCATCTAGTTACATATATAATTTACCAGATTAGAAATTTGATTATTGCTTGTATTCAACTAAATGATTGTACGCTTTGAAAATCATACTGCATATTACCGGTTATTTCAAACTGTACATGCAAATCATGATGACTAAAATCCATAACGGTATCTAATAAAATTGGCAGTATATTTATATACACTTCAGGTACAAATGAGAACAATGCTCCTAAATGTGAGGATGCCTTTGGTGGGGAAATACATATATACAAAATTTCACACATTGTTAAAGTACGCAGTTATTTTGTTTTTCAAAATACTTTACATTTAATGTACGTAAGGTTTTCTCTAACAACCATACTATGATCATGCGACGTTGTTTGCCAAGCGCAAGTGCGCGGTACCAAGCCTGTTTGCGCGCCAACTCAATGGAACGTTTCTGTGAAATAAAAATAAAAAATTAATTTTTAATTTTTTAAATTTCAGAACTTTTACATGCCAATCTACTCACAGCGAATACGTTTTCACGCTGACTAAATTTCTGTTTTAAATCGGCAACAATATTGCTATGATTGTCATTCATACAAACACTTGCATGATCTTCCAGCACTTTTAGTTTGCGTTCAACGTCCTCACGATAAAATTTTGTTTCACGCAGAACCTCATTTAAGGCGGCAATTTCATCTCGTACAGATGAAATCTATTGGAAACAAAGCTTAATTCAAATTTCAACTATTTTTGCTAAATAACTAAAGTCGATTGATATTTTTATGTTAAATCCAAATCTGAACGGGAAATTTTATAATGCATAATTTTACAAAATTTATATAAAACAACAAAACTTGGTGTACTGTAAATATTTACGAAGCTCGGATTTTGCAATTAAATTCTATAGCAATCGTCTGTGTTAAAAAAAACTATGTTTTAAACTAAAATTTTTGATAGAAAGATTTTTTAATGTTTCCTTTAACGAAACTGTACCTTTACAATGTACTTATGTCCAACTGAATAGTAGTAGAGTACACAGATGTCGAATAGCTCGGAGAGCGAACTCTCCGCATCGCTGTTACCAGGTGATGCGTTTGGTTCAGGATTCAGACGTGGATTAAAAAAATGCGTAAAAGTTGCAGCTGGTCTGTAAGTTAAAATTTTAAAGAATATTTAATTTTATAAATTTGAAGAATATTTAATTTTATAAAATTAAGGAAAATTTAATTTTATGACTTATTAGAGTTATACTTACCCCTGTGCACCAACAATTCCAATATTATTAAGATTTGTCGCAGTTAAAAACATGCTAGGGTCAACTGTAGACAAAATAAAAATTCAAATAATTCACATTCATATTACATAAATAGTCAAGTAAGGTTATTGTAAGTAACAAACCCAGCTCGCCCACACGCATCATTGTACGATCTTCCTCCAACAACTCATGTGCACGCTCAGGACCCAAATGTGTGGATATATCGCTGCGATGTACTTTGCGCAAATGCGATAGTACCCCACCCACACGATCGAAGTGTTGATATTCAAAAGTGCCATCAAAGAAGTAATCGGGTTTTATTTCCAATTGTGCTGCTGGTAATTCACGCTCGAATAAGGTTTTTGCGGCATCAATGAGTATGCAAATAAATGCTAGGGCAACTGTTGACTCCATCGGATGCATTATGCTAGATTGCATAAGGAAGAACGAATGGAAAGGCTGTAGGACAAAATAATAGCAAATGCAATTTACAGGCAAAATAAAATGATCTTTTGTTTCTTTACTCGCTGCTCCATACTAAGATCCATTACGTAACGACGCAGTTTTGAGATGAATATTTTCCGACTGGATGGTGCCAATTCGTCTCCGTCTGTATTAGTGAGTAAGAGGATTAATAGATTTTTCTGCATAATATAAATAGCTTCAGTTGCTTTAGTAATTTTGTCAACTTGTGCAAGATATTTCTGTTTCGGGCCACCGACACCTGTTGAAAAATTGAATGAAACAAGTTTTGGAAAATGAACGACAAGCTTTCAATATAGGAACCTTCTGTCCAAGCAATGGAATCTGGCACCAGCTGCTGCATATACTTATATTCAGGTGGTCGTATATACATAAGCAAAGCCAAACTATAAAATATAGTTATTTTATACAATAAATTTTAGTTGTTGTATATATGTAGATAAATATTTAAAAAATTATTACCAATGTTTTTTGAAAAATTTATATTCCAAATATGTTTTTCGCGTTTGTGTATGGTTGCATATACAGGTGAGTATTGTAATTACACGCTTTTGTTTCTCATAATCCAAACCGATATGAGTATGTGTAAATGTTGACAACAATGCATTCATTAACTTTCGCATTAAGAACTTCACTTCCTCATTTTCCAAATAATTCCATAATATAGATAGCAAGGCGCCCAATGTGCTTTCCGGTGTGCCCGGTAAAATAGAATCTTGATCTGTTTCACTTTAGATGATGAAGCATATTAATAAAAAATATAAAAATACAAAGCAAAAAACTTTCTCGTACTTAGTAACACTACACAAATTAATAATGTGCGGTAGCAATTTATCTTCAATGACATATGGATCGAATAAAACTTGTGTTAGTTTCTCAATCAGTAATGTTGCAAATACAACATAAACTGTTTTCTTTGTTGATATTTTTCCATCCGTATGTTCCTTTTTCTTACACGCTGGATTGTGTGCCAACACATTGGACAAATTGACCAAATATCCAAGTAGGATATCAGCTTTTTGTAATCGTACAATTGGTTTTGCCTGTAGTGGCATAAAACCCTCAGCGGGATATTTGAAAGGCGTATTGCCAAAATTAACTTGTAAACCTTGATTATAGCCAAGCGAAACTGCAGGAAAGAATGATATACCGGGCCCTCGCTCTAGTTTAGTGAAAGCAATTCCCATTGACTTTCCATTACGCAAATATTCAATTTTTTCGTCGTCAATGTCGATGGTTATACCAATTATATCACCAATTTGCCACTTGTCGCCATATCTAAAACAGAATAAAATTGTTTAAATCATTTATAATTATTATGAAACAATCCTATTTACTTTTCTCCAGAATGATAATGATTTACTTACTTTGATGTGGCAATATGCCATATCTGTTGCTTACTACCATCGTATCCATAACTCCATTTGGTATCACCAACACCACTGTTCTCATTGAAGGTGCATTTATTAGAACACCATCCGATTTGCATTACGCCTTTACTATGAAGGAGTACCTATCAAAAATGTGCAAGTATATAATTTGTTGTATGTATGTATATAAACATGAAATTCTTTAGCAATATAACTATGTATGTTATCTATTCAAAAAAAAAAAAATATGAAATACACATACATATGCACATATGAAACTACAAAAAGACTTGAAAAAAAACGAAAACGTAACAACTTAACCGGCAAATGGCTTTTGGTCGTTAACCTACTTAACAACACATTCACATTCTCAAGGTCATTACCCTACGTTACGACTTTTCTCACCACCCCTTTATTAATAAGGTATTGAACGCTTTGCTTGAAAAAAAAGCTCCAGACCTCTTTCCACCACTTAAAAGTTAGTTTGATTACCTCATACATCCAACGCCCACCATAAACGCAAACATTGGCCTTTATTGTATTGAAACTACCCTGCGAACGAAGCGATAACCTATCGGCTGATATCCTTACTGTCGATGTAAAATCAATATCACAAATTGTGTGCTCTGGCCCAAGCCTTGAAGCCATGTCAATTCGTTGCGTTTTGGTTGCATGTGAACTATTAGATTCCATAACATTGAGACGCTCATTTAACCAATTCCGTACTATAACCATTTGACTGTAGTAAAAAAAAAAAAGTTTAAAGAAACATTAAAATATTGGAAATCATGTAGTCTTCTCAAGGTGCTTCAGAAATAAAATCGACTGTTAATTGTCCTAAAGAGACTTATATTTTAAGTCAGTGGGTTTCAACTTACTCAGGCAATTTCATATCTTCCAATTTCATTGGTTTTGGCGTATCCGGCGCAGCGGAACAAGCAGCCTCATCATCATCGTCCTCCGGGTGGTGTTTTTCACCAGTATAAATCGTTTCAAAAACATTCTCACCGAAAACTTTTACAAATAATTTTGCTATTGACATAATTTTGCGTAATTGCGCTGCTAATGCATTTGTATTAAAAGCGTAGATGTGCTAAGATATGGGTAATTTAATAGAAGAAACTGTATTTTAAAATTGGTGAAAGTAACGAATATGAGTTTTGTTTACCTTCGAAAATTTGATTTATTGAAAATTGATGCTTCTTCTAAAACCACAATTCACAATAATTTAATAAGTCATTAACGAAAACACAGTAACACCTAAAGAATTATTCCCCTTCTCGTTATTTTATAAATAGCGCTTAAGTGTAAGAACAAGTCCGAATATAGATCGATAAGACGTTTAAAATGGTTATATTTTCAACTGATATCAAAATTAATTTAATTTTTACCCCTTCCAAAGTAACTAATTTTAATTTCAGTCAGAATGGCTCGAAAGTCGTGCGGCTCAGAGTTATGTTTTCATTGGTTTGACAACTTCTTCTTCTTCCAACTGCTTGACGTTCTCAGGGAATGAAATTGACGACGTGTTTATTTTGTCGTTTCACTGCAAAGACAAGTGCAGCAGAAATAAAAATAAAAGTACTTTTCGTAGAAATAAAAGGATTTTAAGAATATTTTGTTAGATATATTAGACAAAATGAGCTCTGATTGGGATGAAATTAAACGCTTAGCTGCTGATTTTCAGAAAGCACAATTGACGTCGACTTTGCAACGGTAATTCTGTGTTTAGCACTACCTAAGTACAATCTAACTTTATTTATAAACATTATAAGTCTTTCAGAGCGGAATTGTGTAGAAATTGTTACATTATTGCTGGAAAAGAATTTATTAGAAGCATTCTTCACTAACGATGGCAAGGAGTATATAACACCAGATCAGTTGGAGCGTGAAGTTCAGGACGAACTGTATGTTAACGGAGGTCGTATAAATTTGGTTGAAGTCAGTAAAACACTCAATGTAGATTTGTCTCGGGTAATATGACAGTAAAATTTATTATTTTTTCCTTTACTTTGATAAATTACGTTTGCTTACAGATAGAAGAAATTGCTTTGCGTATTTCTGAAACTGATCCGGAAATTCACTTTATGCTTGGTCAACTGATAAATGAACAATATATCACACACATCGCAGAAGAAGTTAATGAAAGGCTTTCCCAGAAAGGTGAAATAACTGTATCCGACTTGACACAGCTATTTGACTTGCCATCCGATTTTTTGCAACATGATGTTATGGAAAAGCATTTGGGTAAAATTATACGTGGTCGACAGGATACGTCTAACCCTCGTGTCTTCTTTACGCAATCATATATACAGCGTTGTAAGGCTAAAATTCGTGGTGCTCTAAAAGCTATAACAAGACCAACTAATGTGGCAACTATTTTGCAGCAAATAAATGTCCAAGAAAAAACCTTTCATTCCCTTTTTGATGAAATTGCACCTGCTGGCCAGGTTACATCAAAGCAAGCGAATGCACAATATATTCCGCATATCTACACAAAAATGCAAGTAAGTAAAAAGGCAAAAAAGAGAAAAAAAATACCTTTCATACTCGAAGGCTGATTCTCATAAAGGACTCATGTGACACTTATTTATAGGCAGATTGGGTGAACTCATTTTATAAACAAAATGGTTTTTTGGAGTATGAAGGCGTTAATAAATTAGGCGTTTCAGATGCTAAGCAATTTATACGTAAACAATTCCCAAACGAAGATATTTTATACTTGAAACGGTGTGCTATTGGATCTAAAATAATCGACTTAACGGTCCTTAGCTCGTTGAATGAATGCAGTGCTACTAAAAGTTACGTTGATTTGTCTAGCATACTGCCATCTAACATGTCTGAAGAAGATGTGGAAGAAATTTTCGAAACGATAATGGCTCGTAAAAATGCCACGCCTGGCAACTTTGTTTTTCTTCAGAGTATTGGTATGTTCAACTTTGTATTAATTCCTTTTTTTTATACTCTTTATACTAAAAATGTTATTTTTAAAAAGTGTTTTCTCAGCAATATCTGAATGATCTGATACAACCTTGTCACGAAATGGCCAAGTCCAAAGCTAAAACTGCGGTTGAGAGTGGCATTTACCAGCAATATCTAGCTGAAAAACAGCTTTCAGGAAAATCAAGTACTGCGCAAGATTACGATGACGAATCAAAGTCAGATAAACGCGAAGAACGTAGAAAAAAGGCAGCAACTGGAAAGGCTGGTGGAGGTAGTCAAGGTCGTGAAACTAAAACTAAATCCACCAAAAAGCATCAACGTGGGCGCGCAAATGTTGCTGATAGCGATGATGAACAAGAAACTCGTGCTGGTGCTGGTAAAAAAGGTTCTAAATCTTTCGAATTGGTAAAATTGGAAGATATAGTAAATATCATCCGCAAGACATTAGAGGACGAAGGATTAGAATATCTTTCAGATACAATCGCCGCACTCTATCATAGGTTTGTGCTGTCAATTTATACATAGGTTTAATTCATTGAAATTGATTTCTTTCACAGCCAATTGAATCAAACTGCATTGGCTACAGCGCAAGAGCTTTTCGAAGCAACGCCACAAACGAATCGGCGACAAACGCACGCTGCAATACAGGAGCGTATTAATACGTTACTTGTTGATTTGCGTTTATATGAGAAGGGCTTAAAGGTTTGAAACATCTGCATAAATATATAACATAAATTTTAATTTTAATGGCATCTTTTTAAGCTCTTGCCAGTCGATGTTCAATCACAACTAATCAAATATTTGCTCAAATCACTTGGCAATGATATTTGCAATGAATTGACCGCCTACATTGCCAGCGAATGTAATCTGACTATGAAAACGACCAATTTGAATGTAGATCAACGTAATAAAATTGCGCAAGAATGTGGTAAGTAAATTGTTGTGCATTGCTTTACAAACGTTCTATCAACCCACGGGTACATTCTATTTAAGATGCGGAATATAAGACAGTTTTACTTGAAATCAATAAAGCGCTAAATAAAACTATTGACGATTTTGTTGTGGCAACCGAAGGTGTACTTAAAGCATGCAGCATGATCATTAAGAAGGTAGACAAGAAAAAAGATCGTCAACTCATACTTCAGCACAAGGAGAAATTACTACAGCAATTACAAGAAACTGTAGAACCAGCATTGGTATTGCACTTGACCGCTTTAATTCTTTTCACCACGATTACCGGCTGTATAATACACGCCTCTGGTAAATTCGTGTCGCAGATACTCGCTCATATACGTCCCAGTTTAAGTAATGATCGGAATGAACAACTCATGCAATATCATGGTAAGTAAAAATAATCGAGAAAATTTGGTTCAAACATTTCAACAACGCCAATTCTCTTTACAGATTTAGTTTTACAGCTATTGCAAGCGAAAGAAGACAGTGATGAAGCAAAAATCATGAATGAACGATTACACAGTCTGCAAGGTGCCATCAAAGACTTGGCAGGGTCTTATGAAAAGCCTGGAACTATTAAAGCCGAATAAATACTTATGCTTACTGTTGATAGCTTGAAATATTTTCAAATAAGGCCTAAAACTCCATTTATTATTATTGCATTAAAATTCTATTAGCCAGGTTCCATAGTACCAATTTCTAGAATAAATAATATCTGCTTCATATCGAATTTTTTTTATTTGAAACTCTACGTAGTTTGAAAAAGTGTTTACAACTATTTAAATAGACATAATAAATATATGATTGTATAGCTATGCCAACTACAAGTATGTATGTACAAAGCGTGTTGGAAGTTAGGCAACAGTGCCGATTTTCAATAAACATTCGGCAATTGTGATAATGCTGTTCTTTTTTCCATTAGTACATTCTCATTCGCCCTCATGTGCGAACTAATAACTGTGAAGTCTTTGCAAAATTTGTTTAGCTTTGTCGCATGCTTGCCTGGTAAAGAAATGTGAAATTGATTAGTATTTCTATTTGATATCGAATGCAATCTTTTTACTACTCACATATAGAGAGGATTATTGGCGTCGATAGTGTCTAAAGTCTGTTTAATATAAGTTATTAGTAGCTGCAAGTTCTGTAATGTTTCCGATTCCGGTTGTAACCACACGGTTGGTAATGTATTGACTATAATATAAGCTTTAGATATTGCATCGTTAGCTGTGCAGACCTAAAAAATGCAAGCATTCATATAAATTGTTTCGTGAAATGAACAAATTTTCGCTCTTACTCTCATAGCGAGTAGCAGATAACGATTTAGCAATAAACCAATTGCCATTTCCCGCAATGGTCTGTCTGCTAAAATACCCTGCCAACTGAGGAAATTTCGAAACAATTTTAGGCCACTGCAAAACTGACGTTGAAAGAATGAAGTCTTCGCCTCTTGCACTCTAAAAATTAATTGATGTTAACTCATTGAAATTTTTTTTAAATATAATTAAAATATTTACTGCTTAGGAAATATCGGTATGAAGACATCGTTTTCTAGTGACAACTTCATTTTTTCCAAAATCTTTTCAAATAATTGTTGCAATTGCTTTGATGTGTCTTTGAGTGGAAAATCACGCCCCAACCGGTTTATAAAACCAATTAAACGTAATGTTTGTGTAGTTGATAAGGGATCCCAGCATTGATTGACAATGTCTATGTATAAAGTTAAGATGATATTTTTTAGAAAACAAGTATTATTAAGAGATACGCTTACCTGCAACTTTAGGTAAAAGTATTTTTTCAATTATGGTTGGCACCAAATTCACGTCGGGATCAAGTCTTAATGTTTCTTCGGTTTCATGCTCACTCCAAGCATAAAGCATACAAGCGGAATACCAATTCATCTTTTCAATATCTTTGTACTCTTCTAGCAACGGTGACCAGTTCAACATTTCCAATCGAACAAGTGGTCCGAGCACCTTAAAATTGATTTTTTTTTTTTGGTTTTACATTATAAATATATTAAAGAATTCTCAGTATTACCTTTGGCAAACACAGGCTAACAAACGCGTCCTTGTAAGAGTCCATATCGGTTTTGCGCCAAGCATGAAATTTCGTCAAAATTAGTTCGACTTTATAAAAGTCATCATTTACATCACTGAATATTGCTTCTGACTCGCGCTGTATTTGATCTAATTTAAATTTAAATAATCCGAATATAAATCCAAGTTTACCATCCTTAGTTTAAATAAGCATACCAAAATTATTTTTTATTTGTTCTTGGTAACGATCGGACGTTTCATCGTCACTGGACATCCCATCTAAATGAGTTATAAGCATATCGTTTTTTTCACGCTCGCATCGCCGGCGAGTGCGTCTACCCTCTCGCTCTGCAGCTCGTCTGATTTGCTCTTCTGAGTCGGCACCACGCCGTGCACCGGCAGGCTCTGAAAAGAACATTTTACTACACTGAAAACATTTTCATCAAATTAAATCTATACTTGAAGCTTCAGCCATTTCCTTCGCTTGGTCGCGAACATCTTGACGACGACGTTCGATAAGAAAATGTTGATGCTTTGACCATACTTGTAGAGTGCGCTTTTCCAAATCATTGATAACTGGGGTCTGTAATACGGGAAATTATATAGTTATTTATTTTTATATAAAAAAACTTTAATATTTGATTACCTTCTCCGCCAAGCAATCTACCAAATCGGCAGCGTAGCATTTCATCTCCTGATAAAAACGATATTTTGCCGCTGCGGCAGGCGCTTTCTGTGTACAATCTAATTCTTCAATTTTCAAAGCCTTCAAATTGCTGACTATACGCTCGATATCGCTTCTATGCTTTTCATTAACTTCACGCAATTTTGTCAAACTTAAATAGAAATATAAAATTAATTAATTAATTTTATTCAAAATTCCATATTTAATATTTTCTCAGTATAATGCTCACCGCGTTTGTATAGCATCTTGTATTTCCTTAGGCGTACGCATGGATGCCGTTTTGGCTTTCTCTTTTTTCGTTTTTGTGGAGCCACTTAGTATTTGTTGTGGCTTCTGCAAGGCACTCTTCGCGTATGCTTGCTCCAACAGAGTTGACGTCGATTGTTGTTCCTGCACATATTCTAAAGCATTTGTGGCGGCAGGTTTTATCATAAACCTCGATAGTACCGCATCATGCTGGGCGCTCACCAGTTGTGCGCCCGTTACACCTTTACGTATTTGCTGATTCTCCCATTCATGCATCTCACGATCGGAGTCTTCATCAGTATCTAGGAGTATAAGCAGAAAATTGTTGACTTCCATAAAATGTTGTGTCTCGAACATAATCTTGTTTTATAATAAACCACAAAATAATTGTAAAATTTGCGCCTTATTGACCAGTTGATATTTAAAATAACTGGTAATTGTCAGTGCGCAGTGCTACATACAATCGTTGTTTTCCACAGCGTAAAATTGTTCACGTCGCTCCTCACGTTCCTTTTTGGCTGTTGCGACGGTCATGTCCAAGCGCTCCTCATCATCCGAGTTATCACCTTCTACATCCTCATGTGCCAAACGACTTCCTTTCTTCGCGGGTTCTTTCGGCTCCTCGACAGGTATGAAATCGCCTACATGGACATTAAGTTATATGATGTTAGTACAAATTATTCAATAATATATTTTAAATAATCAGAAGTTGGCATACCTTGCTCTCTGGCTTTTTGGCGACGTTTTCTCACTGCATGTATCATCGCAGCATCGGGTATAGAACCACTCTCCAGCATTTGTTTCAAGTGTTCCGGTTTAGAAAAGCGATGTTTTTCATCACGATCGTCGTCTTCATCACCCTCTTGTTCGTCCTCATCCGACATGTCGTTGCGGCCAGCGCATATTGCTGCGCGGCCATTGAGTATAAGATCGGGCTCGGATTTTTTAACAACAAGCTATGAAGAACAAGTTAAAAGAAAACAATATTAGAATATTTTATTGGAGAAAAGACGTTTGAAATTGAGAAAAAGTATAGCAAGGGTGCCAATTTATTGCTCTTTTCCATGAACTTGTTTTTTTTTTTCAATCGAAAATTACACATAAACACTGCATATTTTTTAGTTTTTCCACAGAAAATAAATTATCAAAAATAACCGTAATTTATCAATACGAAGTCCATGTTCGACTCACAAATTAGCATCAATGCATATCTAAAAGGTACCACATTAGCTAGCAATAAATTGCCATATTATCTTTTCAATTTCTGGACAACTTATATGTACATTTCATCCATTTCACCAAAAATAACCGATGTTTCAAAACTCAAGATATGTGCTATTATAGAATGTTCAAAACCTTTACAGAGCTGGTTTTGATCATAAGAACATAATTTAAGAAATTCTTATTATAGATAAAACAGATTAGCGTAAAAAATGTGTAAAAATACTCAAATTAAATAAAAATGATCTTTGATGCCCAATAAAATTAATTGTAAATATTTGAACAAAATGCTATGTATCTACTGAAGCTGTGTACATCACTACAAGTACATTTTCTATGTAATAAGAAAGGAATCACATCGTAGTCAATTGCTGCCAAAAATGTTTGACCAAATATCCGAACTAAATTAGCCAATAATAAAAAAGAGTTATTATTTCATCTTATTTTTTGTCAGCTACTACGATACGACTCCCCCGCTTTTTTCTTAATGTTTGATTAGCGCTATGGCATGTGAACACTCCAAAATATATTGGGCGTTCCGTGAAAAAAGCTTTTACAGATTTGATTTTATTTTCTTTTTTTCATAAGAACATGTAGGGAATTTGATAATAATAACCTTACCACAAAGTCGTCTGTGCGTATTTCTGTTTGGATACAATCAGATTTTTTACTTTTACACTGCACAGCAGCAGATGCTGCGGCAGTGCCTACGGCTTTTCCACCAGATGCTAGTGAGGTTGTACCCTTATATTTATTACTAGATGAAGTTGTTGAACCTAAATTATGAGAGTTATTATTGCTGCTGCCGTTAGAAGATCTGCCATTCTCAAAACGTATTTGCGATTGTCGTTCACGTTGTCGTTCAAGCGAAGAACCATCACTTGTTCCAATACCTGCTCCACCACTACCAACACCCATTAACGACTCTTGTGTATTTTGACGTTCCTCCTTTCGTTTTCGGCGTCGTTCTCTATCTAACATCCGCATAATCTTTTTACTGTTTGATGATTTTCGCACCTGAAACACCTCTGATTCCTCCTCTGGAAAAATAAAAAAAAAAAACATTCTTATATTAGACATTTGATCTTTAGTTTAATTATTAGCTGGATAGTGAAGCTTTCTTACAAAAAAAAAAAAAAAGGGTTAAATCAATCATTGCGACAGTAAGCCCAAAAAGGGTCCAATACTTTAAAATGAAGATTGAAAGTTTTTATCCCGGTTCTTGTTTGACTTGTAGGAGTAGCACAAAAAGCATTCTCCTATTTTAATTACTTTGATTGCTATTGATTTTACACAATCCCACCAGAGCAAAATTAAATGTGTTGACCCCTTACCTTCGTCTGCAAAACTTAGTAGAGACTTGGGTTTGTGTTCTTCGTTTTTCTCTGTCTTAATGCTAGATTTCTTAATGCTGGGGTTTTTCTTGTTAGTTTGAGCGGTCTGCTCCGCATCAACATCCATTTCCATAGTATCCGCCGCATTTTCTTCTTCGTCATCTAATGTACTCGAAAACACACGTCTCTGTATTTTCTTTGGTTTCCGAAACAGCGACATTTTTTCTGTATAGTTTACAATGTGTTCTTATCTTTTTAATTACTCAAATAAATTAATTAGCAAACCACTAAAATGCAACGAATTTTTATAAAAAAAATTAATGTACGTCTGCACTAATTTTACATTTTTCTATGTTTGACATTTGCAGCTTTATTACAGAGAACTTATAACATAGAGAAGGTTCAATTGCGGACCATCGTGGAAACTGTCAAAAACGAAGTCGAGTCATGAAAGCGTATTTCACCACCGGCACAGAAATTAACAGAATTCGTCTATAGTGCTTAACATTTTGAGCGTAGCAACAAAAATTATGCTCACAAATGCAATTCTCAGCATTTAAATAACATTGTTATATGTTAACTTCAGGGAACGAATTTTTTGATGATTGTTATCAAAATAAAGGAAAATATTATTTAATTTTGAAGAAACTGAACCAAATTTTACTAATATATTTCCTATGTTTTTCGAATTTCTGACTTAACTTATAGCAAATTTTAAATGTTTACCATCAAAAAGTGTCGATAAGTTCTCTGTTTATTACATGTTTTATGCAAAAACGAGCAGTAAATATTGCCAGAGTTTAAAAATCTACAGGCCATTATGAATTTCTAAAAAGCATCTGAACAACTGGTTACTTGAACGGTATTTGTTTTATTTGAATTTCATGTTTTTGTATTAAATATTTCAATATATCCTATAAAATGTGCATGCACGAACTAATCAGACCAACGCGAAAATTCCATTTCTAATGTACTTATTCAATAAAATCATTTGTTCCTTAAAATACACAGCGACAGCGGCTCAGTCCAGCCGATGCTGAGTTTTCCAGTTAATTTAAACATTTTTCAAAACTTATTCGGTGATGTAATTAGGGTTCGATCAGTTGCAATTTTTACAAAAAAAATTGCACTAATAGATAAACTAGGCAAAAATTATTGATTGTCGAGGACAAAAATATCTGATGCTTGATTTTGTATTGTAAATTTGAGAAAAAAAAAACCAAAATGGGTAGGCATATTTTTTTGTTGTCCAGGCAAATATTCCATAATTAGGTTCAAATATTTATGATTTAAAAAACAAATTAATAAAAGTTTTTAAAATTTTTTTGTGCACCGTCTTCCATTTCGATGTGAATATTTTTCTTTTTACTTTATCAACTTGCAAATGTAATTTGACATGGACGAAAAAAGCAGTGCTGCCAAATTTTTTTCAAACATTGTAACCAGTTCACCAGAATACCAAATTCAATTTCGGGTGTTAAATAAAAGTAACAAAATTTACTTTACCGGTAACAGTGGAATAGGACTGTGAAAGACGTTTCTTGAACGAAACAAAAAAACCTAGCAGCAAAGGGAAATTTTTGCTGTATGACAACATTGAGCTAGAGCTACAGCTGCTGACTACTTGGGTGTGCTAAATAGTCCAATACTTCTACAGCAACTAATAAGAATATAGTGTTAGGAAACTCCAATTCTTATTGGAAATTATTGTGAAGTAATTTTTATTACCAAAATGGGACTGAAAGGTTGTGAAATTCAATTGGATAATCCATGGAATACATATTATGCTGGTCAAACTATTAATGGACAGGTTAAATTAACTTTCGATTCAACGAAAAAAGTACGAGGTAGGATTAACGAAAATCTCATATTCATATGTATGTATAAGTCTTGAGTTTATGTACATATGTACGTAAATATGCATGTTTTCGTGGACAATGTATGTATGTACATATATAATTATTAAAATTAAAATTTAAATCCATCTAAGAAAGGAGTTTCCATACTGTAATACGATCACTTCATGAGCTAATTTAACGATATTGTTTATTACGCCATACATGTGTACTGCATCATCACTTTTATTGGGGCTGATATTGCTACACACCCAGTATTAGCCGGCTCTAAGGCATATTTTTTGTATATATTTTTATTTTAACTTTGCATAGGGGCTCACAACAAATCTTTCCAGTATATACTAGTCGACGAAACTTGAAAAAGCGGTTTCTTGCTTCAGTTTTGGTTATTATGCTATTTTTTTTTTTTGTTTATCATATGTGGCCAGCAGTGAACCTTTCAGCTCCTGTGCACCTACACCTATGGGACTATATGCTACATATCTTACATATATGCATATATACAAAGTAGCCAGACGTGTTTGCACAAAGAAAGCTCTTCGCTAAATTCATACATAAATATGTACATACATACATAGGTACTACGGAATTTCAAGTATTTTTTATGATTCTAATTCGTTTTCTTTTTAACAAATCTTGGGCGCTAATGTATTGTTGTTTTCCGCTGGTTTTTGTCTCGAGTAAAATTTAATAAAAAAAATTTATTGTAATACGGCAAATATATGTTTATATCTTTAAAATCTATTTATTTAAAATAAAAAAGACAGGTCATGTAAACTCGTTAATCTCTGGTGAAAACTCACAGCTAGAGAAAATGATGAATCAGAAAACGATGCCAATGATGTCATCTCACAGTTGTCGAATAAGCGCTGAATGTCATTTGTTGTTTAATTGAAGTAATAGTACGTTTTAATTTATTAATATTTATTTATTTATAAATAAAATAAAATTTATTAATAGAATTTGCAAGGCAATAGATATTAAATTTTTATTTTAACTTGCATGAATACATTTTTACATACTGTCAAATTTATATATGTTTGTACCTATGTATGTAGACAATGTCTTTTTCATCCGTCTGCACACATACGTATCTGTATGCGTATACATTCGTACGTGTACAAATATTTAAACAAATGAGTGATAATAAAAAAAACTCATTATCATTCACATCATAACATCATAACCTCAAATACAAAAATTACTTTGCTATATTTTTTAAATATTACCGTTTAGGCATCATTATAAGGTTCCTTGGTGAGGCCAATACCGAATGGTCAGAAACGAAAACTGTAACTACAAGTGAAGGAAAGACTGAACAGGAAACGGAAACATTACGCGGTCATGAAGAGTATTTTCAAATACAGTACTACCTTTTGGGTGGAAAAAATAGTAAGTAAACAAATAAACACATAACAACAAATATTATTATAAATATTTATTCGGTGAGATAAAAAGCGAGTAAAATTTCCATGAAGAGAGCGCATTTTCTCACCGAACAGAGCTAGTGCTTTTTTTTACTTAAAAATGACTCTCGAAAGTGCTTTAATTGTTTTTTTATGTCAATCTCACCATACTAGGTTCAGAAACTGAGCTTCCAGCTGGCACGCACACCTATCCCTTCACATGCGCCTTGCCACCTACACTACCCTCATCGTTTGAGGGTGAATTCGGCCATGTGCGTTACACTGTTAAGGTAACATTGGATCGTCCATGGAAATTTGATCAGGATATGAAAATGGCTTTCACCGTTATTTCGCCCGTCGATCTTAATGTAAATCCACGTGTAAAGGTTAGTATCTTGAATAAAAAAAAAAAACCGGATATTAAATATATGTATTCTTAAAACGAAAATTATCTTTACGCCAATCCCACTAGGAACCATATAAACTTGAGCTGGAGAAGAGCTTTTGTTGTTTCTGTTGTCGGTCGGGTCCATTGTCGGTTGTTACCACTGTACCAGTGACTGGCTACGTTTCGGGTCAAACAATACCAATCACTTGCGAATGCGACAATGCCAGTAATGTCGGTATCACCTCGGTTAAGTTTATTTTACGCAAACGCGTCACGTTCCAAGTGAATCAACCTCGTGCGGATAAGAAACAAAGCAAAATTACAATTGCTGAGCTGAGTATTGGCCCAGTAGCCGGTGGGGAGACACGGACATTTACGCAACAATTAGAAATACCAGCACTGCCACCAACAAATTTGCTCAATTGTGGTATTATTTCGTTGGATTATGATTTGCATGTAAGTAGACAATTTTGGTAGTATGGTCATTTTAATTGTTTTTTTATTTTTGACATTAATGCATTAAATCCATACAATACAAATATTGCATAAAATACAAGATATGTTAATGATCAATTCACAATTAAAATTGGGATTTAATTTATCCAATAATCACACAAAATAAATATTTCAAATAAAAATAATAAAAACAATTTGCTATAAAATAATTATCAAGGCAAATTCATACACGGTAGTAGCAAGAATACCAAAAAAAGCGTATGCATTTTGTTTGTGTAATAATAGTTTCGGAAAGTTAAAAACAAAGTTTGTTCAATGTGTAGTTCGTAATGTCAGTTGAAGTTGTCATATCATACGAATGCTTGTTCTTCCTGCCATTTCAAAAAATTACACAAACAAAATACATGAGAAATAGGTTTTGAAATTACGAACTTTTTTTTACACCAACAAAATACATTGAATAATTTTCGTTTTTGATTTTTCGAAAGTACGATTACACAAAAAAAATATATATAGGCTTTTTGTTTTGAATTCTTGCTACTACCATGTGGAAGAACGAGTAATCACAAGATGGTTATGATAACATAAATATTTAATGAAATCATAACAGACTTTTTTCGCAGTAAAAACAATGTTAAGGAAATTAACTAAAAAGTCCTTATGCATAGTTTTTATTTTTTATATTTTTAATTTCTAGTAAATAAATTAATTAATTTTTATATGTTATAGATTGAATGTGATGTGAGTGGTCCACATCGGAATTTATCTGGTAATATACCCATAATATTGGGTACAATTCCCTTGGCATCATTCAAACCGCCAGCACCATATACAGATGTGCCAGCGCAGTTGCCGTCACAACAAGATCAAGATCCTTCATTGGCACCAACTCAACCAGTTAGTCCAGCAAGTCCACCAAGCGATGGCGCAGGTGGTGCACTAGGATGGAATGTGGCAGACAGCGCTGGCGGTCAACTCTATCCAAATATTCGTAAGTTTCATTATGTGAAAATAGCATTATGGTTACTAAAATCTGTAAAATATTTACATTTGCAGCGCCACCACAATTTGTAGAGACACAGTTTCGCGCACCAAAAATAACTGGTAATGAAGATTCCGAACATACAACGGTTGTTGGTGATGCAAATTTTGCGCCACGCTATCCAACTTTCCAATTCAATAATGCGACTGCACCACCACATCACTAAGAGATAGAAAATGCGCTTGTATTGGCGCATACACTAATGAAGACATCACAATGATTTAAAAAGAAAAAAGAATACAAATACTATATTCAATTCTTTCGATCTTTCTCTCATGATTTCGGCTATTTAATTGAACAAAAGAAAGCATTTATTAATTCGCTTATTCAAAAATTGTTTGGTGACAGACAACGATATCTAACTACTCTTTCTCACTAGTCTGTAGGAAAGTGCTTTTGGCTTCCGTCCGCAGTGCTTGTCAAATAAAGTTTATTTTTTTTTATTATATCATTACTTAAATCAAGTAATAAAATAAAGACGAGTGCCTAGAAATATGTAAAAATTTTGCAATGCAGCAGATATTAATTTGAAATGTAGTAATTACATTTAAGTCGATTAAAGTGAAATATGAATTTTTGTAACTTTTTGATATTACTCAAAAAAAAAAGAGCTAGTTGAGATGTTTAATATCATGCTTTATGAACAAATTTACGCACATTTATTATTTATATAAGCTTTGAAGAAAGAATCTCTGCTATAACAATGCACAATTTTACGGTTTAGCGAACTTGTAATTTGCTTATAACAAAAAACAAAAAAAAAACAGAGCCATATGTAAAAAAGTAGAAGAATTTATGTTACTTAGTCATTCGATTCGTTATATATATACACATGCATGCATACATATGAGCATGTATCTATAATGTATAGATAACTATAAAAATATATATTTTTTGGATACTCTTTGTTACTCTACAATTTTCTGTTTTAAATGTAATTAAGAAAAACTTATTCAAATATACTCGCAAAATTTTAATACAATATTGGTTGCTTAGCCATCAAATGGTTTTTTTTTATTATTTTTATCACGTTTTTGTACATGAATTAATACTTTTATAGCATTTCCTTTTCCATAGGATGATGTATCAAAAGCTGCAAATCCTCAACATTAAAATGATGTGTGGCTAATTTTTTTTACTCCAGTATCCCTTGAGGCCACTAATTCCAGACCAGCTTTATAGCTAAAAATAAATAAATAAAATTCATTATTAGGTGTGTTTGTGTGTGTGTGTTGCATTACATCAATTTATAAATAGAATACTCATTGCAATAACAAAAGACCCCAACGTCGTCTACTTCTCTCGTTAGTGCTTCCATTAAAGGGAATTTCATTTCTGTTGCAGCCATGCTTGTAACTGTACAAATTCCATCGGAATGTGTGCTTTTGAAATAAAAGTTTTTAGAAAACATTTTTTAATTGTTTTGAAATTGAAATCCATAAAAATTAAAAAAGTGATGGAAGAGAGCGGCAAAGGATTGTTTGTTGGCCTACAGACGTGCGGTTTACGATAATATTTTTTTCGGAGTTTGTCTTTTTGACAACCGTTACTTGGTCTATACTCAGTTTGGTTCACAATTTATAATGCACTTACTCAGGAACAATGTTGCTATGTCCCTTTTTAGAAAGCAGAAACGTCTCGTCACGCAGGGTGAATATCAAAGTGGTGTGCTGGCGGGTATTTAGCTTTTTACCTACGTCGCTCTTGTCACCAGCGCTCAAGTCAATGCTGCGTAGAGTTGAATAACCATGGCTGCTGGGAGATAGTCTCATGAAATATACATTAAAAATAAGCACAGCACTGGTTAGAGAGGTAACGGTTTAATTTTGAAGAAAATCTATTCAACCCGTCAAGAGGAGCACTTTCTGGTGATAGGAGCACTTTCTGGTGATTGAGTCTACTTCGAAATACAGAAACCAAGTAGTTCCACAGACGACGTATTTTGTTTGCGTTTATTTTGGATTTGTTTTACTTCAAAAATCTACCGATAGATGACAACCATGCCGAGAATTTCTCGTTGTTAGTCAGTACCACAGCAAGCCTAAGCTGTCGAAAGCCTTCAACATGAGTAGGCCTTTAGAATAGTTCACAATCATAGTGGGTTCTAGCTAAAAGCACTGGTTACCTGTGAGACCATGACGTAAAGTGCCGAGAGCTATGCTGGGCCAAGATTATATGTTATGAGTGCCGAAAACAAGAAGAAAGGGGAGTTATTAGGGGATGATGTTGATTTTATATGATCAAGATGTTTCAACTACTCGATTAGACCAATCGATTTGAATACGTTAGCTTCCGGATGCTGTTTAGCAGTTTTCCACACTTGAAGAATTACGCGCTCTTCTCGGACTTCTCTGTCGAAGACTACAGCGGATGTTGGCAATCTAACTATTTGGCAAGCGTTTTATACAAATAATATATATATTACAGTTATCTTGTTATAAGTATATGTATGCATACAAATTCCTGCTACACAAAGTCTTACTTACATAAATACCCAGCCTCGCCGACTCCTCACTTCCCATACAACCGATTGTCCTCTCCGGGTTTTCACCAATTGTTTTACATATTTCCGACACCGCCGCTTCCACATCAGTGCCTTTACAAATTTTATCAGCATTTGTGAAACCCAAATCCAGCGCCGTTTTAAGCCGATGTTCATTTAAATAGACAATTGTTGTAGACGATGCTTTGGCCACAATAAGTGTCACCAAGCCTATTGGAGCAGCACCTAGAATAAGCACATGAGATCCGAGACGAAGTTTTGCGCGCCGCCAGGATAAAGATTCCATCAATGCACCCTCTTCCATGGTCATATGACCCGGTAATTTGTATCAGAAATCGGCCGGATGATTATAATATCGTTGCAAATATCCATCATGAGGTGGGCACACACAAAATTTCATATCCGGGTATAAATTATATCTACCCGACCTACAAAAATTGCACATTCGACAGGCATAGCCGGGTTAGATGGCAACACGATTACCTTCCTTTAAATATTTTACACCTTTTCTTAATTGTGCTACAATGCCCGAGGCTTCATGATCAATAATCATAGATTTTTCCAACACGAATTGACCGATGGCGCCACGTACCAGGAAATGTACATCAGAGCCGCGAAATTCCAACTGTGTCCATTGCTATAAGTACTTCTGTGAAGGTGGAAATGTTTTCGAAATGTAGAAATGTTAACCAATCATTTCTTATAAACTCTCCTCCTGAACCTACTTTGGGCATCGGTGTCTGTTCCTGAAATATATATGTACATATAAAAAAACATAAGAGACAGCCAAGTTAGCCACTTGGTACGGGTCCTCACCCCTCGCAAGTCCTCGATGCCATGGAGTACTATGGACGAGTTATCTTTTTTATCTGATTTACCTTTCCCAGCGCCATCACATTTTGCATTGTAGCACCTTAAAGAGGTCTTTCCCCTAAAGTTTGATGCTTTATTGCAGAACCTCTCGGCCACATGGGCACCAAACGACCGAGCGAGAAAAATGAGTGGTGATTTCCGAAAATCATTGTTGTTAATTAATATAATCTATTTTCTTTATATCTTCTTAATAACATTAGTAAAAGTTAGTAATTATACATCAGACCGTTTTATGGTTAAAACTAAAAATTTTATTATTGTGGGGTTTTAAAAAAATTTTTTATTTTAAATAAATTTTCTATATTTTTTGGATGTTGGTTGAACCCGAACTCTAACCCCGGCCTTCCGAATAGCAGTACGCAATGGCGAAAATTCGGCTATCGCGTCCGCTATACGGCATAATGAAAGGGTGTTTTTTAAGACGTGTGATTTTCAATAAGTCAATACTATTTACGGAGTTGGTTTTGTTTTTGGCAGCTGCTAGTTAGTTAATGGTTTGCCGTTCCATAACGAACAGACGTACTCCGGAACAACGTTGACGATTCGTGGAAGCTTCGGTCCAATATTCGGTCGAAATAATCGCTCAGCAGAGTCAGTAATTCCAACAACCATGAATCGGGTAAATAATGCGCGTCCTCAGAGAGTACGCACCGAAGACGTTATTGTTGTTGTGGAGAAAAGTGTCGATGTAAACCCCACTGGTTGCATCCGCCTTCGTCTACGCTTTTACTTAAAGTACCGATATTTGAAGTGGAACGAGCAAAACTATAATGCACAGGTCATACAATATTTGTGACCGATTCAGTCTCTTCAAATCTCTTTAAATTGCGTGAGTAGTTGGACGATTATGTGCACCATAATCTCCTTTTAAGCCACGAAGCCACATTGCCACGTTTGGTTCACAATATTTTTTTTAGTAGGTTTTAACAATTTTAACGGATTGTGCGGTTCTTAAGCGTTAAATTAAAACATGTTTGGTGGGACGTAAAGTTTGAAAGTTGTCAGAATACAGCTCTGCACATTTGAAACCACGAAATGGATAACCCTATATAATAGACATACTTATGTGTATACGAAACCCACAGGAGTAATTGGAACCACGTCACAATTTATGCGATAAGAAAATTCCTCAGCAAAAAAATCCAAAATACTAAAATTGTATTATCACAATAATATATGTACGTGTATGTACAGCCATGGACAAAAGTATTAGGCAGCCTACCAATTACTGAATTTGTTGTTTTAGCACTTATAGCGTACCACTCGTTAATTCAGGCATTCTTTAAGGCAGTTTTTGATGTTACACTGCGTTCCTTAATCTAGCGTTTTAAAAAAACCCACAATGTTCTCAATGGGTTTAAGATCTGGAGACTGTGCAGGCCAATCTAACATAACAATGTTGTTATCTCTAATCCAACGCATCGTAGTAGTCGTGGTCACTTTTTTTAGACATTTCGGTAAATATGAACTGTTTTTATAAGATTGACAACTTTTCACTAACAGGCCTATTCTCACTGTTACCTTTAAAGTAAATCTTGTTACTTTTCTTTAACACCCGAAATTGAATTTGGTATTCTGGCGAACTGGTTGCAATGTTTGAAAAAAATTTGGCAGCACTGCTTTTTTCGTCCATGTCAAATTACATTTGCCAGTTGATAAAGTAAAAAGAAATATATTCACATCGACATGGAAGACGGTGCACAAAAAAAAAATCTTATTAATTTGTTTATTAAATCAGAAATATTTGAACCTAATTATGGAAAATATGCCTGTACAACAAAAAAAGCTGAATGAAAACTTTATCTTACAAATTAAAGAGCTATTTTTTAGTCTCCAAAACTTCTTAAAATGCGGCTTTTTGCACATTCTTCTTCATCCTCAATGAATTCCAGGCCTAAAATATGCCTACCCATTTTGGTTTTTTATTTTTTCTCAAATTTACAATACAAAATCAAACAGCAGATATTTTTGTTATCTCCTATTTCGCTGGTAACAAAATTTACAGGGTAACAGTGAGCTCAGAATACGAAATGGTAACAAAATTTACTGAATGGTAAATTTTAATACCAAAATAAATTTTTTTACCTCGACAGAATAGGCCTGTGAATGTAATTTACACTTTCACTTTCAAATTTTATATGCGAAAATATTTTATGAATTTCGTAAAAATGACAATTCTTAGATTTAGCTTACCCAGAGTGCCATGTAAGACATTTCCAAAAGGAAGTGGTAACTTTGATAGTTACATTTGAGAATAGTGGGGTGCCTAATACTTTAGGCCAAGGCTGTATATGTATCATATATATTTTTCTAATTGAACTGTTGGACGGTTTAATTAAATTAATTTCAATTTCCATCAATGGAATTCTACAATACTACGTATATTTCTTCTCTCTTTTTCTTTTTGGTAACAATAACCTTCTTCGTTAGTCGCCAAGTTCGCGTGCATAGTGGGGGCTGAGAGTAAACATAATGTGGATCAAGAGATCAGTGCATGTTTTCCATTAATTTGTACGTTTGTTTGTGAATTATTTTTAGATATTTCTTTGCTCATATATATGTTCGTATGTATTCTACATATTATATTATTGCTGATAAGCACAATGCTTTTGACGTATTTTCTGACATTTTTCGACCTACAAAATATCTATACAAAGTAAAATCAGTCGTATTAATATGAGAATATGTTTGTATGTGTGTGTGTGTGTGTACATATCATCCGGTCCAGGTGAATATGCTATCAAGAGTTATCGATTGGGATTCTCTATGAGTGAATGTGATAAATTTAATATCAATTTTTATTAAAACTTTTAAATGAGACTTTTCTAAAATAATGTAATTTAATATCTGCATAAATATATTTGTATTCGAGGGTAGACTTAAGCAATGTAAAAAATCATATATTCTGAAAAGTTAATTGTAGACAGGGACAGGTGAACAGGCCTATTCTGTCGAGATAAAAAAATTTACTTTGGTATTAAAATATACCATTCACCAAATTTTGTTACCATTTCGTATTCTGAGTTTGCTGTCACCCTGTAAATTTTGTTACCAGCGAAATAGGAGGTAACAAAAAAATCTGCCGTTTGATTTTGTGTTATTAGTTTGAGAAAAAAGCAAAACCAAAATGGGTAGGCATATTTTAGGCTTGGAATTCATTGAAGATGAAGAAAAAAGTGGAAAAAGGCTTATGCTATGCGTTTTCATTCAGTATATTTTTGATTTAATAAACAGATAAATAAAGCTAATTTATTTTGTTGTGCACCGCCTTTCATTTCGATGTGAATATTCTTCGTTTTTACTTCACCAACTGACAAATGTAATTTGACAAGGATGAAAAAAGCAGCGCTCCCAAAATTTTTTCTAACATTGTAACCAGTTCGCCAGAGTTCCAAGATCAATTTCGGGTGTTAAAAAAAGTAACAAAATTTACTTTACCAGTAACGGTGAGAATAAGCCTGGAAATGTCAAGTGGAATCGGTTGCCAGATACTCAAATAAACTGTCAACTTTATTTAGATGGTATAGTCTCTAAACCGACCAAACTCTTCAAACTTGACTTTCATTAAGCATGAAAAAACTTGATATTTCTGAACTAAGAAATACATTTTCTCTAACCATATACGATAACGATGAAGACCTCAACTCTGTTGAAAGGGTCAGGTGAAGAGTGACCTGGCTTCACTTGGTAATTCCAACTGGCGCCAAACAGCTAAAAGAAGAGATGAATGATGCACTAATATTGATTTGGCTATAATCGCGTAACCGGTGCCAACACCAATAAGGAAAGAAATATATACGATAACCGCAGCGAAGTGCCTATACCCAATCCCAGGGGGCTCAGGCTGAATTGAAACAAAAAACTTAACTAACATAATCCATTCCTAGGAACTTTAATTATTTTTTAAAATATTTTTAATATAATATATATAACAACAACAGTCCACAGTTTATTCTAAGCCACCTCCGATTGGATTTTACTCGGAGGACTTGGCATTCCCTGATGAGGGGCGAGCGCATTTAGAAAAACTAACCAGGGTTCGCATTGTCAACCAAATCGCTATTGTGGTCACCAAAAAAATTCTATAGCTTTAATGAAATATGCTTAGCCCAATCATAGCACACTAAACGGAACGTATACCTGCGTTGTAATTTTCTCACAAATCGAATTTTTAATTTTTTGTTCCTTAGCACTCCGCAGTAAAAGAAGCATCGGCAAGTACCTGTAGAGGTCACCAAAAAGAGAATATATTGAAAAAAAAAATTAGTAATTCATTATTTTAGTAGTGAATGTATTGATCTTTATCTAACATTAATTAGGAAAAAAAAATGTCTATAATTTTTATTATTGGTCCACCAAGGACTAAAATTTATGACCCTACAGCTCAGAACTTTTTATCAAGTCTAGAACACGTGAAATAATGTTATCGCAAATATTATTTAATCTAATGTGTTTTGTTTTATCAAAATACAAACACTTATCTAGGGAATACGTATGTATGCACTTTCACGCATATATGGGCTTGTATGTGTGTATAAAGTCAAAGTCAATGTCACAAGTATTTCAGGGTGTCGCGTAATCCAAATGCGATTCTTACATATACATATACACTAGGTGTGTTAAAAAAATGCCGACAATTAAAATTTTTTCAATAAAATAACTATTTATCCGCTTAGAATAATGTTACCACCTTCAGAATAGTCCCTTTTCCGAATCTCCGAAGCACTTCTCAAACTTGATCTTTGAGATAGCTTTTGGACCCGTGAGTTATGCGCTTTAATGTCATTTGCGTTGTGATGCAAAAGCCATAAACTATTTTTCCATAAATTTGCGCCTTTACTTCCAATTCCTTCACGCAGACGGCGTTAAGTTTGTAGTTTGTACTCCTTATTGACTGTTTGACTTGGTGGCATCAGTTCATGGTGTACTATGCCATTGAAACCGTTGCACACAGTGAGCATAACTTTCATGTTCGACCGCTCTTGTCTAGGCTTTTTCGGTCTTGGCGAGCCAGAGCCTTAGTTTCGTTGTCATATTCATCAATCCGTGTTTCGTCATCTGCCACAATACTTTACAGTAATTCTGCATGATGGTTCACTTCGATCAACATTTCCGTCCTTTTATATGGTGCGGAGGTATAGACGATGACAAAATCAGATAAATGGCGTTGGTGAGAGAAAGGTTTTGCGTAATATTTATGGTCCTCGGTACGTTGACGGCGAATACCGCAGGCGATGGAACTATGAGCGGAACGATGTATTCAGTGACATAGTTCAGTCATTCAAGAAGCAGCGGTCACGCTGACTAGTTCATTTGGCCCAGCTGTGACAGCTATCGATGATGTGCCTGCCGGTGGAAGCAAAGAAAGGGAGAGACCTTCCCTCTGTTAGAAATGCCAGGTAGAGACGGACCTGGCTGTACTTAATATTTCTAATTAGTACCAAACAGCGAAAATAAGGAATGAATGACGCGCTCTTGTCAACTTGGCTATAATCACGAAAGTGGTGTCTACACCATTAAAGAAGAAGAAAAAGCAGAACTTCTAAAGTGATTTTCGGCCGAGTTTTGAGTTTTTCGAACAAATGTTTTTGAGTGGCATTTTATTTGATGTCAGGAATACACTCGGAGGAGCCGCAAAGAGGCGACCGCTATTCAAAAAATTAACTCAATTTTGAATTTAAATTAATTTTTTATAAATTTTGAATGCTCGTCGGACCAAGATTCGAGCCCTGACTTTCTGAACCACTCGGCTATTGAGGCAGCTAATATCCCTGCCTTTATCCAAAGCAGACTCACGTTCTCGTTATTCTTGAGCACAATTGTATATAGCCATACATGTTAGATATACACTGTTATCGTCAGTACTATGTGAACAACTACTCTACAATATTGAGGAATTAATTTAGGAGGAAGAAACTGTTCTCAAGTTTTCATGCTTTTTTTTAAATTCAAATAAATTAATTAAAAAATATTATGAGCATTTATTGTTAAATTCTTGATATATTTTTATTGATTTTTCTTTTTTATAATATTCTCGAGGCCATTTATTCTTATAATAAAAAACAGTTAAACAAAAAAACTTGTATCTTCTATTCTGCGAGATTTCAGCTCCACAGGAGCCAAATCCTTCAAACTTTATTGTTTGTGTCTTTGGGTTGTACGTGAATCATAACTTTGATGGCACTTCATGTCCATAGCGTGGAGTTTCAAATGCCTTCGCTGTCTCGGTGATATCAAAATGATTTGTAATAAAACATTTCATATTCACCTTGCCGGAAGTAAATAAAGCTAATGCAGCGGGGTAGTCATTGCGGTAACGGAAAACACCACGTATATCAACTTAGCGAGTCAACGCATTGATCAGTGGAATTTTTGGCTCAGCAGCACCCATGCCTACGATAACAACACAACCGCCAGAGCGCGTAGCCTGTATGTATAGCAAGGAGTGTATCATTAGATTTTCTATCATTTTGTCATATCTAGATATGTAAATGTATTGCACTTACCAAAATACTCAGCCTGGTTGTAGACTCAGCACCGCAACAATCGATCGACTTGTCCGGTTCCACACCCATTAGCTTATGTACCTGTTTCGCCACCTCTTCGGCGCTATCATCCTTGTTCATAAGTAGTGTATGTGTGGCACCCAATTCCTTGGCCACATTTAAACGTTGTTGCACCAAATCTGTAATCAGCACTTGTTCAGCGCCCATTGCCTGCGCAGCAAGTAGTGTCACCAAACCAATTGGTCCAGCACCTAAAACAAGCACCTTTGAACCAAGTCCAACACCAGCACGACGACAAGCGTGTACACCAACTGAGAGTGGTTCCAACAATGCACCCTCCTCCATAGTGACATGATCGGGCAATTTATAGCAAAAGTCTGCAGCATGTTTATAGTAACGTGTGAGATTACCATCATAAGGGGGTGTCGCACAAAATACCATATCTGGGCAGAGATTATATTGTCCTGCTTTGCAGTGTTCACAATAACGGCAGGGTACACCCGGCTCGCAAGCAACACGATCGCCAACAGCCAAATGTTGAACTTTTTTGCCAACTTTAGCCACTACACCGGAAGCCTCGTGTCCGATGATCATTGGGTTCGTGAGTACGAAGTGGCCAATACGTCCATGCACCAAATAGTGCACATCGGAACCACAAATACCGACGGAGTCCATTTTTAAGAGCACCTCTAATGAAAAAGGGAGTAGTAGTGTCTTTGATTAGCTCCTTAAAACTACAATAATATATTTGTATATGTAAATAAACGACTATACATACCATCGTCGGAGATTGCCGGTATTGGACGTTGTTCCTGTAAAGAAAAAATAAATGAAATTTATATTGAAACCACCTTAAAATATATTTCGGAGTCTGCATAAGGTATATTTCTGAAGCTATTTAGTCACTTTTAGTGCTTTAGTCGACATTAAGAGAAGCATAACTATAAAATTTGGTCGAGTTCTATTGACTAATGCCTTAAATATTCGTTGTTGAGTCCAGCGGAGGGTGGAAAGTAATTAATCAGGAACAAAGGAGTAGTTGTTGCCCGATTGCGTTCATATTCAATATATGTATGTTCTTACTAGACCCCAAATTTTTTGAACATGAATTGTTGAAATTCAGCTACTGAATTATTACAATTTTTGTTCTTATTGTTATATGGGAGGTGTCTGTTATCCGATTTCACCTATGTGTAAGGCAAGTTTCATCAAAATATTGCAGTCCTTACTTGAGTTATCGTATGCACTGACCGTCCGCCCGAGACGTCTCGTTATTCTACAAAGTTTGATATGCATAAATGTAGGAGTACTAGAAGACCGCAGTAGCCGAGTGGTTAGCATTGTGTATTCACATTCTAATGGTCAGGCTTTGAGTCTTGGTCCGACCATCTATTGTAATTGCGGTCTCCGATCGACAGAAAATGGCAAGTCTACCCAGTGCATTTTTGACATCAAAATAAAGAGGCTAGTAGTTCATAACTGATCGGCGGTGGCTTAGAACAAACTGTAGGTTTGTTGGAAAAAATCAAGGCGCACATAACAAATTTGAGGAGGCACACGGCTGGCTGGGCTAGGAGGATGTACCGCCTCTAAGATAAATATGTGCATATCATGTATGTAAACTATATACTCGAAATTCTATATAGGACGTTCCAATCCGTTTTTTGAATGTTAGAAATATACAAAATTACGGGTTTTTAAGGGAATTAAAAAATCCGCTCTCGAAATCTAGTTTGCATAGAAAAATATTTAGACATTCGGAAAGCTCCGGTTCAAATCTTGGTGTCGCACTAACATTCAAAAAGTTGAAGAAAAACATTAGGACATAAAACCACAAATCAGAGGAGGAGCTCGGCCGAAAATCTCTTCAGCGCTTACAAAACGCCATTTATATATCTTATAGACAGATTAAATATTTATTATTTGATAGTTTGTTTTTTTTTCTTTTGCTCTTTGCGCCGTTTCGTGTTGAATTAAAATTCCAGTTTTATAGCTAAACATTAATGTATGTACATATATATATGTACATGTGTTAATAAGAGTACATTGTATACTCTTATCAAGCATTCTTAATACCACAGACGAGCCCACAAAGCAATTAAATACTAACAATAACAACATGACATATATATGTATGAATACATACATATTTACATACGAGTATTTGTAAGCTTTATTCTTCACTTTATATGCAGAGCTGACATATTGAATAATGCCGATCTGAAAAGCAGCTAAAACTCAGTTTTGTCGATTTAATCCATTTTGGTGTGGTACTACTCCATCCGTTTGAAATGGAGTTTACGAATTCGTTGTCATGTCTACATAATAATCAAACCTTCTACCACTGTCCTACCCAGTCGCTCTCATTTGGGGCGTTTGTAGTGCAAATTTTTACAAAAGCAGCTGTAAGCAACTTCAAATGTCTGACAGAGTTTTAAATTGAAAAAAAAAGAAAAAATCTGATGCTGCTCTAGGAATCCAAAGCGGTCAATGGCGGCAAGAGTAGCCTTTTATGGCGCCTGATCTGGAATAAACAAGCTCAAAAACTCCACCTGCGCTAGATCAATGTTTATCCTGGAACCGAAATCGTGTCGCTTCTTAAGAAGGAATTTAGTATGATAATTTATATTAAAATTAATTTTTTTGTTTCTTTCGGTATTTTACTCGTACAAAATTTCCAATAGTCTTCTTGAAACCAGAAATCGCCAGATAAGAAATGTAAATTTTGATAAATGCTAAATATTTTATTTCATGGAAATTTTTTATTGTGTATTTGCTTTATTATGACCAATTATATTATTTATTTCTGATAATGTTTATTTCTTTTGATTAGTTGAACAAATTTCCCCTACCAACTTACCAGACGTAGATCCTCAATGCCGTATAAAACTGCTGCCAAGTTGTCGTTTGCCATTTTTAAATTATTATTAACAAATTAAACGATATATATGTAAATTCACGCTTGTTGTAGGAAGCTATTCCAAAATATTGACTTTTCTAAAGCAATGTTCTAAACGAACTGAAATTAATTCAATGCGAAGTGTCGCAAGTAAATACCGCATAGTTGTTACTGGTGTGGGCAGCACTCGGCACACCGGCTGGCCACGTCGTATTCGTATTCTCAACATACACACCGGTCGCATATATGTACGAGTATATATACATGTGCCCATGAATGTGTGTTCGAATTGCTAAATATGTGAAACAAATTAACTCAATAATTATAAAATGAAATGCATTTAATACAGTGCACTTATGTGCCTATGGATATGTATTTATTCGTACATATGTATACATATAAATATATTTGTGTGAAATAAATACATAAATAGCAAATATAAAGCTATGGGCAAAGTTTTAGCGCACTTAACACCAGAATTAAAGTACATAATATCGTTACTTTTTAAGTGGAAAATATTCTCATAAATTCCTTAAGGTTCATTAATTCTTTGTGTATTATTATATTTATTTTTCATTAATTAAATTTTTTAATCTAATTATTTTGATATCAGCGATGCTTGATTGTTGCATAAAAAAAAAATCAAATAAGGTGAATTTTATATAAAAAACTAACGGAAAAAATATCGATTGTGGTCGAAGGAGCTAATCGGACGAATTTTCGTTTGGAATTGAACTGTTCACAATGATACTTTTCTGCCAGCTGTCGCTGAATATAAATTAAAGGATATTTTTTAACATATATTTTTCAAGAAGAAATAAAACGCATAAAATTGAATGTTATGGCCAAGAATTCAGTTTTATTATAAAGGTAAAAGTTTGACATTTTTTCGACTACTTTTCGTCCAAAGTTTTAAACGTCTTGGCCTTATCTGCGTAGACATGTGACTTCACATAATCCTAGAGAAAATATTCCAGCGGTGTAAAATCACATTATTTTGGAGGCCACGTCAAGACCCAGGACACGAAATAACGCGCTCACCAAAAGTTTTCTTCAGTAAACTGATTGTCTCGTTGGCTGTATGACGTGTAGCACCGCCTCGTGGGAACCAAAGGTCGTACATATCAACATCCTCTAATTGAGCAAGGAAACAGTCACTAATCATGTATCTGTAACGTTACACGTTGCACTTAAAATTATTACCGACTGCATTTTTAAAGAGATACAGCTCAATGATTCCCTCTGCCCATAGTGCACACCAAACAGTGACTTTTTCAGGATCTGACGACGCGTCAATAATAGGTTGTGCATTATCATCACCCCAAATGGGACAATTCTGTTTCTAAAACTGAGCTTCAACGCTAAAAAAAAAAATGATCGTGTGAAAATCGCAGTCGGTGGCCTCCAGGTTTGGGCCCATACACCGAACGTGCGTTTGTTGGTCGTTCGGCTTCCATTCTTCGTCTTGTTGGATTTGGCAAGTCCGAAAACTATGATCTTCCATAAAGTGGATGGGCACAATTGTACGCCCATGTCCATGTCCATGTCCAATTGTACGCCGTGGCGGATGAACTCATTCGTGTTTTCTTCCCTTGAAAACAAAAGTCATGCCTGTAATTAATTTTAATGGCAAATAGTTTTTTGCACAATCATCGAATCAATTGGTTTATTGTATTATTCAAAAATTCAGACAAGTTAAAAAGCTTAAAAGGAAGAGTACAAAGTAAATCCGTATGATGTATTCTACATTCTTAGATATGTACATATGTACTAGTATTTATATAAAACGTAATTGACGTCGCCCCTCGGCAGGGAATTGTCAACCCGTCCGGTCTCATAAAAAAACCATCAGCCGTTCGGAGGCGGCATTGTTTAAACTGTAGGTCCCTCCATTTGTTAGAAAGACATTAAGACGGCAAACCACAAATTGGAGGAGGGCTCGGCCGAAAATCGCCAGTTATATATATAGATATATGTGTATTATTATTTTTTACCGATTTAATATTAACATCAATTTTTCGTTTCGGTGAAAAACGAAAAAAAATGTATTTTGGCAATTGCTTTCACGTTAATATTTCCAAATGTTTCAACCGAAACGATAGGAATTTTTCAATTACGAGGGGATTAACAAAAGTTCGGTCAGTTGGTGAGTTTCAATTTGTTTTTGTTGAATCTAAAAATACGACACCCTTTGAAAGTTATTTTATTAGACCTCCTTTCAAATTTTAGATTGATTGGTTCAAATGAAGATGAGCAAACGCTAGTTAGCTGAGGATAGGTCAGACGAAATTCCAACACCAATGCAAGCAGAAATTTGCCATGTGATTCTCTTCGGGTTTCGGCGCAATTTACAGTCAATATAAATATTCATTGAACGCCAAATTGCATATTGAACGATTTCACCGTCTTTAAAGACTATTTCCAAGTCGTTCCGAAAATTCCAGACCGGACATTTTTCCGTAGAAGACGAGCCCCGAAAAGGTCGACGAAAATCTTCCACTGATGACGTCACTGTAGCTCTGGTGAAGTTCTAAATTGACGAAGACCCACGGTTGACAAAAGAAATGATTGCTAATGAATTGGGCTTGAAGGGATACTCGTCAATCTGTTTTTACACATTTACTGGTCTTCAGAATGGTCGCATCTACATGGATGACATTTCGTATTGCCATTGAATATCGTCGAAATCTGTGGACTATTTCATATACAGTTCTTCTTTCTCATTACATACCAATTCTAAAAGTTGACTTGAGTTATTTTAAAAAATACATCGCATTTGCGTCATTTCTTCACAGATAGGGTATTCACAATGCATTGCAATCGAGCGAGCCAAACATGATGTTTAATGCGCTAATGATTTCGCCATCCAGTATTAAACAATACAAACAGTTAAAATGTTAGCTAGGATTAACCAGGTTGGCTTCATGATAGTACATTGATTGAAAGTAAATGATCAAATCCATTTTTTGGTCAAATATTGGATGAGTGCATAAGTTCGTGCCCGATTCCGCTGGATGCCGTTCGAATCGTTTGAGAGTGGCGCTCGTGAAAGAAATGTATACATATTATATATCGTTGGAAAGGTGACAATCCGAACTGTAAATCAAGCATAAAATAACTTCATTTTGATTTGAGTTGCTTAGTGAAAAGACGCATGGAAGATGGACAACGAAAAAGATCATATGCGTCATATTATGTTATACGAATTCCGCAAAGGAAAAACAGCACGAACTTATGCACTCAACCAACGTTGCGATGAATGCAATGAAAACTATGATTTTGTGAATTGCCTAACAAAATATAATATATAGTACTTACATACTACGTGTAGATATGTCTCACTTGTTGATGTAGAATTGTTTAAAAATAAAAACTTTATACATACATACTTAAGTAGACATTAATATATATGTATGTATATTTACGTAAGTTTACTTTGCGTATGATATGAAAACTCACGTTTTGGAATAATGAATTGCGTTGTGTGCAGGGGTCCATTGCGTTAATTTGTTCATTTGTATATACATATGTATGTATGTATAAAGGGGTAAGAGAACTGTAAACAAAGCTTTTCACGACTTTTTTTTACTTTTGTTTGGTGTTGTTTATTTGATGTATATACATATGTACATATGTAAATCTAAAAAACTTATTTTCCCCTAACATTTACTGTTATCATCGCTACTTTATATACATACTTATTTATAAGCGCTTATGAGATTTCAAGGGGGTGCTGCTTATCGCTGACCTGGTGATTTTATAGGGATTATCATCAGTATTTGCATTGATAAATCATTGTATTTACACACACATATACATACATACCTTTGTATTACAAATTATATTTATTATGTACTTGGCATTTACAGACTTTATTAGATTTTGTAAATATTTTTGTATGCTTATAAAGTTAAGGGCAAGATCAAATAAAAAATAGCCAACCAATTTTTTTTTGGAAAAACAATTAAGTTTTCAAGTGCCCACAATAGAACAGCAAAGTACCGCATATCAGCTGAGTTTTATTTACATTGATAAATTGAATTGTTATAGCTCTGTTCGGCGGTTGCAGTAGCCGAGTGGTTAACATTGTGTTGTTATTGTAGCCAAAGTACCTTTTGGGGAATTTTGCGGGAGTTACAGACCTTGGCCGGATAATAATATGGGTCATTATCATCGCGGTAACTTCAACATTTTAGTCGCCTCTTGCGACAGACATGCCTTACCGGGTGTAAATTCTTGAAACACTAACCCGCATACGGGGCTCGGTTGGGCAGTCCCGTTCAACAACCGAAGTTATAGAAAAATAATTTTTCCAATTGCAGTCGCCTCTTGGCAGGGAATGTCTAGACCGCCGAGTGCATTTCCGACATGAAATAAAAAGGAACTCATAATAAATCTATCAGCCGTTCGAAAGTAGGTGTTTCTATTTGTTGGAAAAATATTATTATATGTATATTAGGTCAAGTAACAAGTCACACATCGAAAGCGACTCGACAAAAACTCCGAGAGCATGGTTTTCAGGCTCTTATGCATACACCAAGTGCTTACCCTATGTCCCTGTCTATGGCGAATGATTTGGCTGATAAAAAATTTTCCTTAAGAGAGGCGTGTGAATATCGATTGTCTCAATTTCTTACCAATAGAGGCAAATAAATACAAGAGAAGCTTAATGACATTACCTGGAAAATCTGATGTGATTCTCAGATTTCGATGACTTTTAGAGACAATGTTTAGTTGTAGATACTAATATATGATGTCAAATCTGAAGCTTTTGGATATTTTTTGACGGATTTTTTCCTAAAATCATAAAATCTAAAAATGTCCGAACTGGTCGGTTCCAGCGAATGATCGTTTAAATATAGCGGTGCATCGTGTACAAATTTTGGTTGAAATATCTAAAAAAAAAATGTGAGAGACTAGTTTGCGTACAAACAGATGGACAAGCTTACTAAACCCAGCTCCATATTCCAAGATCATTTCAGTGAATCTATCTCTTCTTCTTCTGGTATTTACATACTTCGCATCAGAGTTAATATATCATTTCATATACATGAAAGGCATAAAAATCGTGCCAGCGCTTTTTCCAATTCTCGACTCTCACTTCTCAACCACGATGTTTGAGATAGCCTTCAATACTTTCAGGGTCCTGAGTCCTTAAGGTCAAATACGGCTGTAAGGTGATGAATCTTTAGGGTTCTCTTTATTTTTGGAAAAACCTAACAGTTATACCGAGTCATGTCTGGCATATATGAAGGTTGGGGCATAGCTATATTATTATTATTATTTTTTTTTTGAAACAAAATTAACAAACAAGCAGTAAATTGTGATTGGGTGCATTGCGGTGGACTGTTCTCCCACTTATTCAAGTGTATTTTTTTAATTAATTTACGTCGCCTTCGCTGAGAAGCGCCGAAGAAGGAGATTAGTCCTTTCGCTAACGTAACTAATTCTTGTCGCTAAGCTTGTATCCATCTCAAATTCATGTCTCTGGGTGCCGGCATGTGAAATACGGGCCTGAGTATCAAGCAAATCGAGCTATGAATATGAATTTTCCGAACAGATCTCCCCATATTGACCCGGACAAAAAGTCACCTATATAAATTCCATAAATTAAATTGAAACGAACCATCAGTTCATCTCCAAGGCCACTTCCTGTAAGACAAAGTGTTCCTCATATCAATTAAGAAAAGAGTTATCTGTGTGCCTGAAAATCCTTTCTTAGCGGGTGTCGTAAGCAAAATACACCCTCCTAGTTTCAAAAATCTACGATCAACGGTTTAGGCTGTTGACTTATCCGGCAGTCATTCGGAGCACATACGTACATATATAGATTTTAATAAAACCAAAGTGCCGAAAATTCAATTCAATTTCATAAACTTTTATTGATTTTTCATCGGAGAATCAACTAAATGAATATATTTGGCATAGCTTTGCGATTTTTTTTTTTCGAATAAATACTAATTTGATCGTGAAATTCTTAAGTATAGGAAATGCATAGATCTATGGCTTAGTAAAAAAAACTACGAAAGTAGTATGTATGTATATGTATATAATGGACGCATCTGCATGTACATACATACTGTGTAGGCATTTAATATGCATTAATTTTTTGAGTCGTTATTTGACACACTAAATGAATACAGTAATATGATATAATTATTTCGAATCTACCGAACAATAAATGCGAAAATTTCGATTAAAAATCACTGCAATTTAAATAATTGTCAAATATTTGTTTTTGTTTTTTCTTTTAAAATAAATTATAAATTGCTTATGTACAAAATCCCTTTGAAGCCGAAGTCAGTAATTTATTTTTTTTATCACACAATTATTCAACTATTTTTATATATATATATGCTGTTATATAAAGTGTATTTTTTAGTTTTCTTATAATAATTTCAAAAAGTTTAAATGCAATACTTACATACATACTTATGAAATAATAATTTTTTTACTCAAAATAAATGCAATATTTAATGTACTTGCTTATATTTTGCTTATATTATATATGTAAATAAATACAGTTTTTGTATAATATGTGTACTGTTACGTATATATATAATTTTAAAACTAGTTGAAGAAAGGAATCTTTTCGAAATGCACTTTGAGTGTTATCAAGTTCACACAAAAATAATAACTTCAAGATAATACTTTTGATTTATTATTAGGGTAGGTTGCTTTCATTTTTATGGTTTTATGAATGGAGAACTGAACGAAAAACAATTCATTAATTGTATAGAAAAACATTAAAGCCGCTTTGGCTCTACACTTGAACGATTACTTGACCTACCACCGATCGACATAGCCGAGCAGAGCGCTACAATGAAATCAACTCATGGCGGATGGCCCTACGAGTAGATGAATTCTTCGATATGCAGGCGAATGAAGAACAAAATCTACTGGGTATGTGGTCCGTTTCATAAGGGAAAGAAGGTTTCAAGTTACGTTTAAGAACGGCAGATGGCACAGGTACAAGCCACCCACCAGTGGAACATATATCATCCACACGCATGGATCAAATATGGTTGATGGAGTGGGTTCCCAGACTAGTGCAGCAATTTGCTCTCGGCCGCCTTGTCTACTGCATCTAACTAGCGAACCAATGCAGAAAATATAAAAGCCGCTAAAAACGATATATAATGAAATTTCCGAAAGAGCTTGGTAACAGATCAGGCTGTGATGTAACACATTAACGACTTGCATAACCAATATGCAGTTGTTGGCCTAATGACTAGTTTACCAAAATATAACGGTATAGCTCAGATTAACTTTCTATCAATTTTTATTAATTTTTTAGGAGCGAAAGAGACGTCCCAGCGACCAACGCTCAGAGCTTATTGAGTCTATTGAGGGTACAGTTCTCGGGGCTGTCAATCGACTGTGATGAAGTACGAATTTTCTTAGAATCACAAAAAAGTGATGGGTCTGCGCTCAAATCGAAGGTGAACGAAATTAGAAGCTCCGCCTTAATATGAAAGGATCTCTCGTAGAATTTAGCCTAATGTTAAAGTTTCAGATATTTTGTAGATAGAGCATTAATGTTCAAGTAAGCACTCCGATTCTAATGTCATTGACAAATAATAGTGGTTAGTATCTTCTTTTTCTCTATTTTGGACAAAGAACCGGCGCGATGACGTTGTAGACCATTTCTTCTATTTCTTCATGTCATTCGAATGCATGTAAAAACTCTGCTTTGGAGAGCATTCGACGCAGTTTCCTTTGGTAGAAGCAGAATACTCCATTGGAAAGATTGGGCTGCAAAGTGCTGGCTTCACTTGGCGTTCCAATGGGCGCCGGACTGCGAAATAGAGAAACGACTAACTGTTGACTCAGAGGGAGAAGAAAAGGCTAAAATATGAAAGCATGAAGAGCTTGAAAAGCTGGTTTGCAGGAAATATAATATTAAATATGCGAAAATTCTATAGTCCAAAAAAATAGTTTCAAACCAAGCATTTTCTTTGAAAAACCAAGGATGGTGGTGATATGTAATTGACGCTTTGTAATCGCTGAAACCATTTTCAGACGAACTTCTCCTTCAATTTATAGTTTGTGCATCTTCATGTTTTCCCAACAAATGGAAGAACTTACAGTTTAAACAAAGCCATCTCCGAACGGCTGCTGGTTTTTTATCATGAGGAGCTTTATTTCATGTCAGAAATACACTCTGATGGGTTGACATTCCCTGCCGAGGGGCGACCGCAATTAGAAAATTTAACTTAATTTTTTATTTAAATTCATTTCCTAAAACTTTTGGATGTTGGTCGTATCAGGATTAGCGCTCTGGCCTTCCGAATGGCTTTAAACAATGCTAACCACTCGTCTACAGCGGCGGTGGGGATTACATACAGAAAAAACTACAATGAAGAGGTAAACTTTGTCTATCATGATTTAATGATGGCTTCAACGAAAAGCCAGATGAAAAAAAAAACAGCTAGCTAACGTCTACAGAACAAATGCTTGAACTTGTTTTGTGAATCGTCTAGGGATCGCTCTGTTGAAAAGCACGACAGCTAATAAAATAAGTTTTCTAGGTGAGTATGACTTAAGCTTCCTATAGAATATGAAAGAATCTCTTTGACTGCCAGGTGAGTCTCAATTATATTCAAAGCTTCAGGATAGAACTTAGGTGACCCTTTTTCCTTAAAACAAAACAAACTCTTCTTCTTGGGTAGTGGTAAAAGGGACCTAAATAACCGCTGGTTCAGTTCGGTTTCCTTAGGTGGGACAGAAAGCAAGTGCCATCTATGAGTAGATATTTCAAAGCGAATTATAGTTAACTGTAGTGTGTGTGAATCGTTGTTATTAGTGCTTTTTATTCGATTTAAAGTATTCTTTTTGTTTATACTAAAACATTATCACGAATTATGTCATATCTTTAGCTGTTTGCTTAAAAGACATAAAACCATCCATAGTTGCATTGCACGGTTTGCTTCTACAATAATACATACATACGACATTATATCACTATCCTTTTGACGGTTTGTGTTCACAATTGAGTTGTAAGTACTTTTATATATTCGCCATACCTCTCTAATGGCACGACACTCAGAGCGATAACTCTTCGGTAGAGGTATTCACATGGACTCGTGGCACCTCTGGCGGTTGTTGGATATCCATTAGTATGACCACCTCGTAAGGACTACAATCGGAGAGATGTAGAAATGAGCACAACCAACCGTAGAAGCCCTTCTCAATGTCCGCTATCTCGTTTAACCAACTATTGAGTTGTAGGCTCAATTGTACTATGCCAGCGTACAGACCCAATCCGATGGTGCAAACGAGTATGCCCACTGGATAGGCGAGTATTAGTATTGGCGACATAAAGAACTTATGTACACACGATTTCTCCTCATTGAAATAGTTGAACATATTATACCAGGTTAGTGTGCCAATGTAAAATGAATAAACGCCGGAGATTAATGTCACAAATGGAAGACATACGAGCGATAAGAGTAGTATATGCAGACCGGTCTTCGGTGTGCAGGTGCAACATAAATTTTGCTTTTTATTAACCTGTGTAGCGGCCGCCAGAGCGTTGATCTGTTCCAACTCTTCGCGGCTGATATTTATTTGTAGATCAAGGCTTTGGCCCTTCTTCCGACCACGTTTAATTGTACCTGTAGGTAAAGACAATAAAATAATATTCATATAAAAATATTTAAATTGATATTTACATATATGTAAAGGGTGTTTTTTTTTTGGACATGTGGTTTTCTAGAAGAAATTCAATGTTATGGCTTACAATTTGGCTTTCTTTAATAAGAAAAGGGTTTGTTTTTTTTTTTTAAATTATTTCAAGTGACCGCGAAGATTAATTTTCGACCACTTTTTGCAACAACTGAAACCGTTTGTCAGGAATAACGCGCCGAATATTCTTTTCCAAGGCGTCAATCGTCTCGGGCTTTTCTGCGTAGATAACAGATTTCACATAATCCTACAGAAAAAAAATAATACGACGATCTTGGCTGCCACGCCACAGGTCCACTACACCAAATAATGCCCTCAACAAGAGTTTCGTTCAATAATTTGTTGGCTGTATGGCATGTAGCGCCGTTTTGTTGAAACGAATAGTCGTTTGGATCCATTCAGCAAGCTCTTTGGCTCCAATTCCTGCATGACTTGGATTTTATAAGTCCGCAAAAGAAGAGCCTTCTGCAAAATCATAAAATGGATGGCAAATGGACTCGTTTTGGATCTTCTTCGATACTCTACCCCACAGCAGCAAGAACATCTTCGGTCGAATTACCGACTTTGCTAGGCGGTTCTATCGATCGAATATTGAACGCAGTGCGCGCTGACTTGCGCAAACAGAACCATTATTTTGGCAAGAATTTTGCACGATTTGCTAACGTCGCTGCGGAGTGAGACCGTTGTAAAAAAGACCAACTCCTAAAAAAAAAGTATTGTTTTAAAGAAAACCACACGTCTAAAACAAAAGCACCCTGATTTTTTTCCGAGCCTAATTCAAATACTACCGACCAAGTGGACAATTTTTTTTTTATGAAGAGCATATTTTTAAAAAGTTTATAAAAATTTTAGTGATAACTTTCTAGATACTCTCCTTTGCACAATATTCTCGCCCAATTAACTTACCCGTCATTGTCAAATAGTTACTATCCATGGACTTTCGCGTATTGTATCTATCCAAACTATTCATATCGATATTTAAAACGCTCGTTTCGCCTGATTCTAGATCCTCATAGTTAGCTATCTCTGGAGACTCACGTTGACTGCGTACGTGCGAGGGATCGGTGCGTATATTTACACGTTTCTTTGAAGATGACCGATTACTGAGACAATCGTGTGATTTAGCATCCAAACTACTCTCTGAATAGCTACTCGGTGTAACTGTGGTGCTTTCATGCCGATTTGTTGACTTGGTGCCTTGCGAAACGCTTTCGAAATTGTGCAATTCATTATCATCCTCATAAATATTATCTACTGACGGTGAAGATTTGTGTGGAGCCAACTGAGCATCGGCAGTGTCTCCATTGCACTTAGCGCCCGGTATTTGTGGCAGTGGTTGTTTATTTTTCAATATTAACGAGGTTTTGAGTAAGTCCTCGTCTAGTGCTGGATTGGATGGTGATAGTTTTTGCCGATTCTGCAATAACAAATGAGTCATTTTACTCTTAAATGTGTATGTGTTGGTGTTTTAAATATTATACATAGGAAAAGAAGAGAGGAGTGTCCCAAAATCTTCATTAAAAGAGCGGTAAGTCGAGGAATAAATTAATAAACTGAAAACGCTTTGACCTAAGGGAAACTATAAAAAAAAACTTAAACCAAAACGGATTCTCCGATTTTTACACAGTTGTCTATGAAGTATTCCCGCATCGAGCCCAAACAAACTTCCAAAACAAGTTTTATGTAAAAATTTTGTGTGGAGTCGGTTGAAAATTACCGCAAATCGCGTAAGTAAGGTAAATCAAGTTCTAGTGGAGCGGAGTAGGAGATACTCGTCTGATCTTTATATTAAGTCCACTGGTCGGCAAAAAATTTAAGTTCTATTTCTGAACCGTTATATGGGGAAAAGACGTAGTTGTTGCCTGATTGGACTCATATTCCATTTGTATCCTTTCTGGAAGATAGGATTTGTAATTGTCAAATTTTATCCATTTCTGTACAGTGACTTAGCACGTTCACCTAAGATTTGTTCCAATCCCTCATCTTTTTCATTTAATGCGTATCTAAAAATGATTTCTATAACTTCATATTCCATTACTAAAATGTTGCAATTTTTTACAGTTAAAGGGGTGGGTTGTGAACTTAGTTGGATTTCATCCACCATACTAGGGACCCAATGAAAGTGTGAACCGAATTTCTTCAAAAATATCTCAAATCCTTACTTGAGTTATCGTGCAAAAATAGGGACGGCCAGACAGACATGGCTCAATCTATTGCTCTCGTCATTCCAGAAAATTCGCCGTTATATACAACCGTTAGCGGGAAAAACTTAATCCACTTTATGTATGAACATTTTATATAAAAATGTATTTATTTATATAACTGGCGCTTAGTAACTGTTGAAACGCTTTTCTGCCGAGCTCCTCCTCCAATTTGAAGGAAGTTTATTTTAAGCCGACTCCGAGCTCTTGATGCATTTTTTTTACGAGCCCAGCTGTATAGTCGAGGTCATCGAGGTTTTTGAGGTTGTTTCAACCGGTTCAAAATAGAGAGAGACGGGTGTTAGATGGGTGGGAGTTAGAGCGCGTATAATTGGGTGGATAGTTTCATGGAGAGTTTATTGCATGCAAGTCATAAGTTGGGATCTAGACACGGTCTACGAATTGAGCCTGCTATAATTCTTGTGAGGTAGCTCGAGCGCTTTCTTTAGTATGGGTTATGATTACATTCCGATTGTGATATACATGGAAGGAATGTTAGTGGAGGTGTTGGCACTCTCTGCGTTTGGCGTTTGGGATCCGCCGATAGTTCGTCCTGTTTTGCAGTTCTGTGATATGATGCTGAAATGTGTCCTTAAAGTAAAGTACTTCCTTTTTGATGCGCCTGGAATGGTGACTCAATTTCGGGTATCTATTGTAGTAGAATTAACCCTGTGGTAGCATTGCTGCAAATATTGCTTATACAGCATGGCTTATGCTTATTAACTAGGAGCATAGCTTTTTCACGCGCAAGTGGTGTACAGCTGAGATTAAGTTTACTGTGTATCTTTTGCCAACAAGGCGCTCAACAGTTCTGAGTTGCACTCAGAGTTTCAATAACAACTTACCTGAACATTAACGATATGGTCTACATAGTTTTGTGCACCATTTACTTTTTTCGATGTCTGGCGTTTACGAGGCGGAATGAAAACGGGGCGTTCCTCGCCGCTTACTGCACTTTTGCTAACCATGGTTCGTAATAATATTTTAATGCCTTTGAATGCTATTTAATTTTGCGATATATATTTAAAATTTATGTACATCCAGGTATGTGCTCATATATAAATAAATACGTCTGATTATATTAAAAATCCTTCCGATGTTTATTACTTTCACAGTCAAAGAGATAAACAATTTCCACACTTTGAATTCATTTCCACTTTTAAAAGAGCACATATACATATAATGTATAATTGGCTATAAATTAATTAATTTGAAAGTTGTCCTTAAATTATTAAACACGCCCAATTTCTTCACTTTCGTTATCAATCAGTGTAGTTGCATCCAAACTGCCGCACGAACCGAAATGAAACAGGCTGTTTAAAGTGCAAATCATTTACATCCGTATAAATTATGTATGTATGTTTATGTGTAAATATGAAAGGACTTCTTCCGCTGCGGTTGTTGCTGTTTGTTGTGTATGTTTATTGATTTTCCACTGTATATGTCCTTGTTCCGATTATTGCCTGCTTTCGTAGAGTTCGATGTAAACAAAAAACAAGAAAGAGACGAGTGCAATTACTTGCTATTGTTGTTGTTTTCATATACATGTAAATGCTTGCACATATTACACATACAAATTTATGTATATGCAAAACTACATACGGATGGTTGGTTCTTTCCCTGCAGGGTAGTTCGGTGTAACGTCGCTCATATGTGTGTGTATATATATATATATATATGTATATCATACATATTGCAATGCATAGTTTTGTTTTAATATTGTGAATAAATGAAAAAAGGAACTAAAAATGTAACAACAAGGATAATGTAAGACCGTTAGACTGAGTTTACACCCGAAAGTTTTGTAATTGGTCAACGACAACTTCTTTTTTTGTTGTCGCTAATCACGTTCTCAAGAAGGAATATTAATGTTTATGTTTATGTCATGGGTAAACAAAATATTTTTCTCCAGCATGAGCGAATTTTCAGGCAGCATCTTCTCCATCGTCGCCCTTTCCTACACAAACTAAGAGTTTCTGCAATAAAAGTTACTCTGTAACTTCAAAGAAATTAATAGGATAATAGTTTTGTTACAAATTTTTACTAATATCTCGTTTTTGGATAAATCTTACTAACATTTGTCTCCGAACAGAGCTAATAACAAGCAATGCGTATCAATTTTAGCTTGGTAATGAAATTGCCGGCCGAAAATAAAATTTAAAACAGTTTTTCCAAAAAAATAATAATAAAATCAAAATAAACTTCTGAGAAATATTTCCTATTAATTTAACTATAATTTTTGGCAAATGTTCTTTGATTAGCTCGCATATGAAAGTCGTACAGTGCAGCCGTTTAATGACTTCATCAAAAATATTTTACACTGGCAGCTCTGTTATGGAATAGAAACACAAATGAAAGAAAAAACAAAAAATCAACGTTTCATCTGTTTTTTTAATGGCACAGTGTTTTACAAAAATATTGTTACGATTTTACTGAATCAACCTCGATTATTTTCTAGATCCTTCGGGTACGATCTCTGGATTGTTAAATAAAAAACTCGCCAACTTAATTTGCAGTTTCTTTCGTTATAAAGATTCTATCTAATGTCCTTTATTTTCTCAGTAATTCACAATTCAATTATACTGCACTTTTTTTATTTATAATCACTAACACCAACTTTCACAATTTCCTTTACTTAAATGTAATTCCCTACGCGTTCACTTTACGTCTTCACTGATGTTAACGCCAACCAATTTGCTTTGTCACTGCTTGACTTGCAGCTGAGTGTCGCCTTTATATAGCAGTCGGCTGCTCGCAGACGAAAGCGTAGAAGCATCGAATTGTTCGCTATGGAAGGTTCTTGTGTTATCGGCTTCTCTCTTTCAACTGACATTCGCCTCGCATTTTCGCAACAATATATAACATTACTGTGCTGTAATAAATAGCGCATACAGTAAATTGATATAAAACTTACCGGTGCTTAAGGCCGGAATGTCAATGCACCTAAAAAGTATACAAATGACGCTTGTAGGTTTAGCTGCACGAAAGCTTTCAAATAAGAAGCGGTGAGTTTCCTAAATCCACTACGTTTCCTATAATTAAGCCTAACAAAAAAATAATTATTCAATCCATGTGTTTCACATTTTTTCAGCAATGCTAAATTAGCTGCTGCTTTCCCAAATGGTGTACGTTGTCAGAAATGCTTACAGCTGGGCCATTGGTCGTACGAATGTAAAGAAAAACGCAAATATGTCCACCGTACTTCACGCACTAAACAACTCAAAAAACGCTTAGCCGAGAAAGAGGTTGCAGAAGGCAATGGAACAGTAAGCACAACCACTAAGGAAACTACAAAGTCATCAAAGGTAAAGCGTGCAAAACGATCCCGAACCTCCTCCGGATCTTCAATGGAAGATGCTTCGAAAGGAACGAATTCAGACACGCAATCCTCATCTGACTCAAATGATAGTGGCTCTTCGGATTCGGATTCATCGAGTGAAAGCAGCTCTTCAGATTCAGATAGCGGCAGCGATAGCAGTGATGATGACTCCAACAATAATTCAGATGATTCGGGTACAAGTGATTCGAGTGATTCAAGCGATTCATCTAGCTCTGATGAGCAGTCACCAAAAAATAAAAAAAGCCGACAAACCTCCAGTTCTTCTAGTGAAGACGATATTTGATTAACAATTCGAGAGAAATAACAGTTAAAGCTTTAGTCTAGATGTAATGTTTATGTATATATAAATGTGACTTGGATATTTTTACAGGAATTAATGACGTTGAATAGCCAAAGGCATTTCATACACTTGCATGTGTGGATGCAATACATTTATGCCGTTCTTTTGTTATTAATTCTAATTCACATTAGTTAGATATGAACAATTTGATTTAGTTTCGTTGATTATTTTTCGAATAAAACCAAAATAAATAAATCAGCAAATCAATTTTTGTCTGCTGGTTTTCATTTATTAACTATTAAAAATCATTTAAATATATTAGAGTTCTAATGGAAAATATAAATACATTGGCTTAAAAGGATTCTATCCAAGTTAAATGCTTGCATATATAATTTATACATATGACACCTATGAAATACATTATTTACGTATAATTAAGTTATAGATGAAATAAACTTAAACAAATTGATGTTCATGGAATTGATTTTGATCCAAAATCAGCTTCTTTTATTGCAATTTCGAATTGGTATTTTATATTATATCACATCATCTTCATCTTCTTCTTCCATATAGTTTTGACCTCCTGTCATATTTAAATCTATAACTTGTTTATTTATAATCACCGCATCAATTTGTCCATTATCATCGCACTCTTCAGTTGGTCTACATGCCAAGCTCTTCGGTAATTGATTCAATGATAAACTTGCCTTTGAACTGGTACTGGGTTGCTGTTGTCCACATAAATTGTCTATAGAGGGTGTACCTAAATTCTCACATAACGCGGCGGCAGATCCGGCCTTAAGTTGTAATTCTTCAACCTGAATATTTGATATACATTAACATATATTAATAAGTAAATAATGACACGAATAATATAAAGTACTTACTTTTAATTCGTTAATTGCTTCATTCACTTTACCCAATATGTTTTCCAATTCCTTTTGGATCTTACAAAGTTGCAATTGCTCCTTTTGGAGTTGAGAGTTTCTTAAAATTGTGTCTTTGCTCTTTCCCATTTCGTATCACATTTAATAAAATGTAATATTTATTATTGTTTTTTCCTGTTTGCTGTTTCCTACATTTTTAGATGTTCTTTGTTGTTTACTTTTATATTAGAGAAGTCAGAGAATGTAAAATAATTTGTTATCGGCGAAATTAAAGATCGATGGAGACTCATCACAAGAAGGACCACGGTTTTTGCAATCAACAATATCGTAAGTTATTTCGACATGGATACGACGATAACCGCTTTAACTATTTAAATGAAATGAAATCCAAGCCGGGCTTATCAAATTATTTTGTGAATTAAATCACAAAACTATTTAATAAAAAAACCTTATATATAACCATTTGTTTATTGGATTATATTAAAAGTTTAACAACAAATTACTAAAGCACTATAAGCTGTCCCAGGGAATGGCTACCATTTTTGGAATTAGTATACACTGCTCGCGCTGCTTCATGGCAGGGTATCTAGAGCTCTAGTAGAAGTATACCTCTGAAACTAAGTTCTTATTTTAATAATTTTTGGTATGAACACATCGTATCGGTTTTATATGTCGCGGCAACTCTATGAATCAGCTGCTCAAATTAAACAAATATAAATACATATAAAAATTTATTTTCTGGTATTCTAACATATTAAACTAATAAAAATTGCATATAATTTTGGTGTGTCCGAGAATAAATAAAAAAACAAAATTTATTGACGTGTGATCAACAAATTAAATGCATTAACATATCAAATAAATTAGTATTCGAGTTGGTGAGAGCAGAGGAACTAAATTTGTTAACAACACGAAAATCAAAGTCCAAAAGCTGTTCAATAGATGTTAGAATTTTAAAGCTTCAACCAGAAAGGTGAGCGGCAGTTATGTTTTTCAATGTTACTTTAAAATAATTACCCTTTTAAATAGAAAATCAAGCAATGGCAGAACCAGAACCGTCCCTTCATCAAAGTAGCAGCATGCAATCTTCATATATGAGCCCTCAAGAGGAAGCCTTGCAATCGCTTTGTAAAAAATTGTTAAAATCTCGATTTTTTCGAGGAGACTATGAAGAGCGCAGATACGTTGATGCAGTAAGCGGCTATAGAGATATAATTGGGCTGCATCGAGGAGAAAAGGATTTAGAACGCTTATTGCTGGATATTAAAAGCAAACTCCAAATTTTTTATCACCATTCACCGCATGTATGGATTGGCATAACACACGGTGAATATATGGGAAATATACCTACAAAATTTACACTGGATACTCACATATGGGTGCAGCTGCAGGAAGTTGCGTTTGGTCAGTATTGGTTTAACATAAAAAGTCTGCGATTTCGAAAAAATGAAGTAATATTAAGGATAAATGTGGTACGCTCTGTGGAACCAGAGTCGCAAATTGACAGAAGACAAATTTCTACACCTACCTTAGTGTCTGACAGTGCTAACGGTGCTAGAGATGCTCCAACAACAACGTATTCAAAAGAAGCATTCAAAAACATTCAGCCGACCGAAAATATGTCAAAACGTCCTGAAATGGTGCAACCAGACGTTCTACAAATCGGTTACGATGACTTTGTTAATGTCGTACGCGATTGGGGAACAACAATAAAACATTCTGTCTATGATTTCGTCTCAAATGACATCAATAAAGACAACATAAAGGACTTCTTACAATTTTTGGGTTTAGTTGTGATCTCTCTATTGACTGGCAGTGTAGTTGCTATCAAATATTTAGGTAATTTCGCTTTGCGCTTTATGTTTGAGTTTACACGCTTTACCCAGGTGATGACACCGATAATAATAAAGCTGATAGAGGCTATAAATAAAATTGTTGGTGGCTTTTATATATTGTTGGCGATGATATGGAAAGATGCATTTATGAAACGAAGGCTTACTCCAGACAATCAATTGACCGATTCAAATGAACAACCGCTAAGAAATTTCAAGGCAATAGAATATAATCGACCCATATATCAAAGTAATCTTGAATATATTCGTCAAAATTCTCAACAGCCATCTCTGATGCGATCGAGTAGAGGCCCATTTACGGAGTTCGAACGAAAATTTCAATAAAGTGATACAAAATATTTCGAAAAAGAAAAGAAATTATATACTTATTAATCTGAATGATAGAACATTTTCTTATAATTAAATTAATTGGCTGAGAGCAGAATGCTTATTATACATACATATATATAAATAAAAATTGTACAAAAGAAGCTAGCATTCCTTATACTGTACATACATATAAACAAAAATGGAAGAACAAATCGAACAAGTTGCAAGCTATTCACAACTAATTGGTATTACGCTTTCGTTTGATATGAACACTTTTATTTTGATACCTATGCATACATACATATGTGTATATGTATATATGTGTAGGAAAAAAAAACAATGAAGGTGCTAAATGGGACATGGATAAGCTTAAGTTAAATAATTGCAACAAAATGGCATTAACCACAAGTAATTATGCTTGAGCATTTTCACACTTGTTCGATATACATATGTAGTGTTATTTGTAGCATTTATTTGCCTAAGAAAATCCATATACATATAAAAAATATTTATTCTATTTCATTTTTAATATAAATTGAAATGCTTATACAAAATGACGATGTCAACAAAATTGTATTTAGAGAATGTTGTAATGAAAAAATGTATAGTGATAAGACGAATTTAGTTTGCACCACTTTTGCGTGACTCTTGGCGTTTTATAAATTCTGAAATTTTTAGATTATTTTTCATAGCAGCTATTTACACAAATAAGCGAAATTTTTTCATTTGTTTATTATTGTTTTTGTATTTCGAAATGAAAAAAAATAGCCATTAACAAAGTTTGTTGGTTCAATTTGAGTACTAATATTTATTTTTGCAAATTTCAATAAATCTAAGTAAACAAAAATAAACGATCTGTTAGTATTAAACCTTAACGAAAATGTTGTTACTTATGAATTTAATGCAGTAGATAATTGAAGAAGAATTATACGAGAATAACTTTGTTATAACCAATTCGATGCGTTACTCACTGGTGAGGAGAGAGAAGATAAATTCTCACGGCAGCCGATTCTAAGCACCAGCGTTGACCCGGATTTCATCCTGCTCTTCAGCGACCAAACCTCGTTTAGGTCAACAAGTAACTTTAACCGTAAGTGCGTCAACGGAACAACACCTTGCAGCGTTGCTTCAAATCTTTCTTACTACGGCTGGTGCCGAAGCAACCCTGGTTCGACAGATTTTTTTTTTTACTTCCGGTATAACCATCCTTTCTTTTCGGTTCGATGCAACCAGTGCAAAGGCTCAGATCTGTACAGGCGTTAAGACTCATTGGAAGTGAACCACGCGTTACGTGGCCTAATGCTGGATGTGCCTCAAGCCTCTATGGATTCCACCGCTACCCAGCTTGGGTAAACACCCCCAGACCACTACAGTCCAATATAACCACCTGCTGATACATGCGACTCAAGAAACCAATCTAAACGGACGCTCAAATATTCATAGACCGGCCGGTTTCAAAGTTATGCTTAAGTATCACGAACTTTTTCATGGTAGTCGCTTTATTTTTCACAACACCTTGGGCAACATCTTATTGGAAATGACATCGACTTTAGAAGGACTATCCTAGAATGTAAGCCATATATATAATATATATATATTCCTCCTGCTACTTGTTGTTTTGTGTTCCTTCTAGTCTGTTAAATAACCTTAGAGGAATGAAGATAGAAATTCATAGCTCGCCTCACATCACCAAGGTACTCAACTTGTGTCTGACTACTCTGCTAATGACCGAAATGAGCAAATTGAGAGGAGTGACACTGGTGAATATCTAGCCCGCGGTGAACTTACCAGGTCTAAGGCAACAGTGATAAGTTGGAATCAGTTTGTTGGCGGTGGGATTTAGTCCTTCACTCAACGTTCTATATTTAGGAGGTTTATCCTATGGTAATTGGCGTAGACTTGGGTATCCCACAGTGTGGATTTGACAAACACACTGTTTGCGGCTTGAACTTCTTTATAATCGGCCAATGAAGCATCTATACCATCATCATCGATTGGGGAATCGGGCTTGCTAACGCCTGCTGTCCCTATTCCATTGCCATTCAGCAGGCTGCAGAAGTGTTCCATCCATAAATTCCATAAATTCAGTATACTCTGGACATAAGCAGTTAGATCTCCTCTCCGGGTTCTACAATAATTTGATCCTCAGATTTGAAAAAGCAGAAAACGAGTTATTTACCTACTTCGGTTTAACTGTTGGGAATTTCAATTAAGGGGCTACTTGGCCTTATTCGAGGAAAATAGGTGAATTTTCAACAATTTTTATTTATATAAAAATAAAACCCATTTACTATTGTATCCAATTTTGAAAGGAACATATTCATAACACCGCCATTGTAACGTCATTTTGGGTGATCCTCGGGGAAAAAAATGCGTCTGCGTTGACTACAGAACTCATGATAAGATCAACCAAAGCGAAACAAAAATTGTTTTAGTAATTACGAGAAAGTAGAATTTGGACGAAGTAAAATATAAAAGGAAAAATTAGATTTTTTGAAGACTTTTTTTCAAAGAAAAATGCAAATTTTTGTAAAATTTGCTAAACTTTTTTTAAATAATTCTGATTGAAAAGGAAAATTCTTCATCCAATTCCTCTTCAGTTGTTTTCGAGAACTTTGCACAACCGACTTTGAAAACTTCTATTCTATTCGGAACGACTTGAAAATTTGGATGAATAATCTTGACAATGCGATTTTAAGACCTTTAAATCGACACAACAGTAATTATTAATTAATTTTATAAATCTTTTTTGGTTTGGAGAAATGAGCATCGAGCGGATTTGTAATCATAATCATTAATATCTTTATTTAATTCGCATAATACATAATAATCATAATAGTAATTATAATAATTGTAATTTGTTTATACATAAGTAATTATATTTATAATAATAATAATAATAATAATATTGTGGTTTACACTTTTCATTTTTAGTTATCCATTTGCATTCTTTGCATAGGCGTTTTGTATCATTAAATATTTGTGTTTTTTTATATCGTGTTTTACTTTTAAATAGTTTTTTTTTATATGTATATTTTTTATATCTTATCTGTTTTCTTCTTTGTTTTAAATTTCTTTACACATTAATTTCAAATGCAATAATTTTTCATTATATAATTTTAAACAGTTTGTTTTTGTATTCATTTAATTTGCATTACATCATTTTTATTTGGTTTTCTGTATGTATTTGTAATTATATATATTATATATATATATATTTATATTTATATTTATATATATGTATATTATTTATTATTAATTTCACTTGCAATTTATTTAATTGTTTGGTTGTATATATATAAATATTTGTTTAACAAAAAAGTTTATTCCCTTTGAAGCTTCTCGCATTACATACGTACGTATGTGTATGTACATACGAATATTTGCTACTTTACATTGAATCATCTTTTACTTCTGCAGGTGTGCTCTCCCTCCGCTCCTCTAGAATTTGCTACAAGTGTTTTTTGTTTTTCGTTTTTTGTGTTGTTTTTTTTCTTTTTATAAATATTAACCATTTATTTCAACTGTTTTAAATATTAAGGTTTGTTACTCAATATGATATACATACATAATTATGCCTGTACGTTGTTAGTATGTGTTTTTTTTTTTGTTGTTCACTTTAGAGTTCAAGAATTTTTTTATTCTTCCAATATATTTATGTAAATGTATACATATACGCACATACATACATATATAATATTTTTATTTATACATATATGTGTGTATGTTTGCTTGTATGTATAGATAATTGTGTTTATGCTGTGTTACTATTACATTTAGGCGTCTAGGTTTTGATACTAGTTTTTCGTCCATTTCTACCGTTTATTTCATCTTTTTTTTTTGCCATTATCGTTTTCTGTTTTGGATTTTTTCTTTCCAACTTCTTGTTTGTGTACACAAAATTGCATATATGCATCATTTTAGCATGAAATCTAACGCTTCAGTAAACAATATTTTCAAACTTCACTTACATACATACATATTTTACCTGCCACCAAATTGGCTTTGCCTTTTGCGTATTGAAAATTTGATGGAGAGGAGTAAAGAGTTCGAAACTCTGCAAAAAAAAAACCTCAATCCGTAATGCAAGTGGGTCAGGTCATGCCTTGTAGTTACATACATATATTTTGTTGTTAAACATTCATTACAAAACAAATACATATGTATGTATGTATGTAGTAAATTCAGAATAAATTCGCTAAAAACTATTTGAATTATTTTAAAAATATTTCAATGGAAAACAAATATGGGAATGATTCGTTGCTAGGCGCGCGGGGTTAATCTGTCGAAAATGCCAACGGGTAATATGTATATACATATGTATATAATTGCTGCTTTATAACCGCTGAATCTGCGTTTTTGCTGCCTTAATGCTCTTGAAACAAATGGCCGGAAAAAAGTTTATTCCGAGACGCCGCCAAATGCGTCAAATAAGATTTTCAGAAGCAACTTTTATTTTTATTTGAGAAATACACTCGTCGGGCTTTACATGTCCTGCCGAGGGGCGACCGCAATTAGAAAATAAGAATTTGCTATAATTTTAGAATGCTGACCGAACCAGCATACGAAATCTAGCAAACTGAGTGTTAGTACGCAATGCTAACCACGTGGCTCTTGCGGCCCTCACTCGTTTAATATGGAAAGTAATATTTTGCTGAATCGTTTAAAGATCCTAAGAAAAAAATTGTTTACAACGAAATTAAATTCGTAAATTACGTGATATGCGTCTGTACGAGGCATATGCAGAGAGTAAGTGTACTGAGACTCTCACGGCTGGAGGGATTTTATTTTCGTCCTTAGTGCCGCCAGATCCGATTCGTACGTGTCAGCACGTTGAGAACTGTCAATGCGACAATATGTTTCGTGAATAATGTCAATACAGCCTACCGCCAAGTGTGAACTACGCGGCGTTCACGGTTATCTCGTTTTGAAGTGAAAAAACTTCGTTTGATATTTTTAATGTGGTGCTAATCGCATAAAGTGATAAAGCTATATATCGCATGCGACTTTGCAAGCGGTGTTGTGAGTTTTAAAAACGGTCGTACGTCTACTCGCCTCGCTCAAATGGGATGTACTGAACCACCCGCTGATATAACATCATCAGATTAATATCTCTTTATCTTCCTGAAGCGGCACATGGGTGGAAACAAGTCTTCAATCGACGTAGAGATAAAGGAGAAAGTGGTGGGAAACTTCTTCGAAGACGGAGAGGTGTGGCGACTATGTCGAAAAATGGCTTATAATATTATATGCTAAAGTATCACGTAATATTTTTAAATAATTTTTATAAATATACAAATTTTTTAGAACCTGCAAAAAAAATCAGTACACGTACTACATGAATATGCCTAGTACTTTTTTTCTTACTACTTTTCTTTAGCTACTTTTGGTTTCATGACTTAAACATTCCTAACAAAGTTTGCTTATTAAAATTTCGAAATAAATTTATAAGTGGAAATTGTGAGTTGAGAGTTGTCTTAGCCCAGTAGGTAGTACTTCAGAAAAGTTTATAATAATCTAAAATTTATTATTTAGTGAAACTCATTACGGTGCAAACAATGTAATTATACTTCTCATTTCTTTTTCAGTATTTTTAAAAATTGTCCTCGCAATAGAGGTGTCGAGTAATCAAGTGTCTGAGGCCGGTAGCTCGAAAAGTATTTTGCTGAGTTTTATGCGCCGAGCTGCACGATTCCATTTTCAGAGTTTTACTTTACTTGTAAGCTACGCTCTGCTCTGGTGATATTTTGGTAGCATTTCGTCGCAATAAAAAAATTTACAAGGCAAGACCGTTATTTCTTTTTTAATTTTTCCCTAAATTAAATTAAATTCCATAAAAACATATATATATGTATATAAGCAGTTCGAATTTCTAATTAGTCATTAATATTACATTTGCTTGACTAATTGCATACGAAAATTGAAAATACGAAAAAGTTGCGGGAAACTAAAAAATTGTAAAGAACTCTTCGGCTTTTTGATAACCCAACATCACCCGCTTCAAACTTTTTAGTGTCCTAAATTAAGTGGCAGAATATTTTATTTGGCCAATATACGTACATATATATGTTGTTTGTTTGTTATGTTGTTTTTTTACATTGCACATTGCATACATACATAGTTAGACATTTTTTTTTTTTAAATTTACACATATAACACATATAATATATGCATATGTATATGTACGCACATTTGATAAATTATTTAATTTATTGAAAATAATGCGAAAAGAAAACAAAATTAAGTTACAGTTACAGTTACAGGGGGGTAAATACCAAAATTACCAAAGTTAAATTAAGCATAAAGTCAGATAGAAAGAACGTAAGGCCGTCGGTAGCAAATGTCGGGTGTTTGAAAGGAGAAAAAGAAGAAAGCCAGAAAATACACGTCAAATACATCAAGTCAAGTAAGTAAACGCATAATGTACAGTAATGAAATACGTTCAAAAAAACAAAAAAAAAAAAAAAAAAAAAAAAAAAAAGATCCGAACATTTTTCGGAGAATGGCTCATTGAAAGTACTTGTGGTGGCTGGTGGTGGTGGTAGTACAAATTATGACATTGAGAATAATAGATGGTATTGCGGTGGCTTATAAAAGTAAAGTGAATAATAATTCTATCGAAACGTTATTTGCATGAACTTAGTTAGAAGAAGCTACGATATAGGCTCTTAATTACTTTAAATCATCGGTATCCTCGATCAGATCGGCATACTCTTCCTCCCAATCGTTGTTTGTTGTACGTGTGCGCAGATTTGATATTGTCGGTATTTCGTCGTCACCATCATCGCCATTAGCATTGTTTACAGTGCCGCCGGCACGGTCACGGCTATGTGTCGTCGACGGACCGCCTGTTGTTGTGCCGCCCACCACTTCATAGTCCTTCAACTCAGCCTCCAAATCCTTTTCCCATTGTTCTTCTGTGTATGAAGCATCGATGCGTTGTTTGTTCATTCGATTTTGTTTTTTTGTTGTGGAAAATAAAAGAGAAAAATCAAATAAGTTTCAATTTTTTTATTTGTTATTATGCTTTATGTATTTAATATGTTTAATTAAATATTTAACTTTATTATTATTTTTGTTTTTTTGTTTTAAATATAACTAAATTGGTATATATATTGTTAAGTGCATATATGTATGAGTAATTTTATGATATAAATAAAAACTATTTATGTACATACATAGTACTATCTATATGTAGTAATTATATATGTATATAAAAATATTTTATATATTCAACTGTTGGCCAAGCACCTACAAGCCATTCACATATATGTACGTAAACTAGTTATACAATATTATATTTACAAATAACATTTATAACAATTTAAATCTGGTTTGTATTATTACAAGAAACATATAGTTTAGTAGATTAATGTTAAGATTCCTTTACAGTTATATTGTTTTAGAGTAACACATTTGTTATACAAAATCCATACGAATAGTAATAAATTTGTGTATCGTGTGAAACGCAGTAAAAACAAAAAAATAAAAAAAAATTAATTACGGATAATCCTCGCAAAATATCAGGTGTACAACTTTGCTTCCGCCGTTTTCCGATAGGTGGCTGTACCGGCTGAAGCGGATTGAAATACATAGATGATAATGCCTTTAAAGTCAGTGTGGACAGTGCCTAACGAATTGTCATCGCCGTTTCAGTGACAGTTGTTCTTGTTTTCGTATTATTCACGCTCGTCCGTTCCGTGCCGTTTATGTGCCTAATTCTCGCCATTTGCGGGAAGCTTTACTTTTCTGTTACAATTCGAAAAAAAATGCAGCTGAAGCACATCGAATGCTCTCAGAAACTTACGGTGATGCTGCTCTGAGTGAAAGTACGTGTCAGGAGTGGTTTCAACGGTTTAAAAATGGTGATTTCGATGTCGACGATAAACAAGGCTATCATTGTTTGGTGGGATCAGCTCGGTGTGATTTACTACGAGCTCTTAAAACCGGGTGAAACCATCACAGAAGATCGCTACCGAACGCAATTGATGCGCCTTAATCGCGCAATAAAAGAAAAGCGGCCACAATATCAAGAGCGACATGACAAAGTCATCCTCCAACACGACAATGCTCGGCCTCACGTCGCAAAAGTGGTCAAAAAGTATCTGGAAACGCTGAAATGGGAATTCTTGCCTTACCCGCCGTATTCCCCCGATGTCGCCCCTTCTGACTTCCACCTATTCCGTTCGATGGCACACGGCCTGGCAGATCAACATTTTCAATCCTTCGAAGAATTGGAAAAATGGATTTCTTCATGGATAGCGTCAAAAGAGGACTTTTTATTTCGAGCCGGGATCCGAAAATTGCCGGAAAGATGGGAGAAAGTTGTCGCTAGCGAAGCATTAGCTACCCAGCTATTATTTATATTAAGTCAACAGTTCGGTCAAAAATTCCCAATTCTATTATACGAGTATGAAAGGTCTCAAAACCGGAGCAAATTCTGGTAAGACGCAGAACGGTGATACAGCGACTGCTGCTCAGAGAATACTGATTTTATGAAGGGAACACTTCACCAGCCACCTGAAATGGTTGCGAAAATGGAATACCCGGAGTTGACGAACCCGACTCACCAATCGATAACGATGGAACAGAAGTTTCATTGCCCGACTATGAAGAATTTCAAATAGCATTCGCTCGCTTGAAAGGCTACAAAGCGGCGAGACCGATGGATTGTTGGCCAAGCTATTCACATACGGCGGCGAAGAACTGATAAGGAGCTTGTATTAGCAGCTTTGCATAATATGATAGAAAGAAAATATGCCTGATGATAGGAGCCTACATTTGATCTGAATAATCCGTAAAAAAGGGGACTGACTGTGTAAAATACTAAAGCCCACTACTAACTCAACTCATCAGTGCCATCAAATACAATATCTTTGAAAAAAAAACCCGTGAAAAGAGGATCGATGTGGATTGAGAGGTGGTCGATTTTAAAGCAGCTTTCGACAACACGAAAATGAACTGCCTTTACACCACGTTCTTAGCATTTGGTTTCCCGCTGAACTGTTACCGCTCTATATATGCTGACGTTAAGCAACAACAAAAGCTCGGTCAGAATCGGGAAGGATCTCTCCGAGCCGTTTGATACCAAACAGACAAAATAATACGAGTTGCCAAACTGAATAGAGAAGCTACGGTTTTCTACAGTGCAATACCTCCTATCATCAAATCATCAAAAAAAAATGTCATTGCATTTACGACTTGGCTCCCACGTCACTGTTGTCAGTCATAAATTTGAATTCGCAGATAGTTTTGTCCACCTTGGAACAAGCCATCAATAATATCAATAACAATGTCAGCCGTGAAATCCACAAAGCAAACCAACAGGTCTTCCTGCCAGCAGGTGCTTCTTTGGACGGAGTAGGTAACTGTGAAGTAAATTCCTTCCTCGACGAATAAAGACCAAACTCTGCAAGTCGCTCATCATTCCTGTCCTAATATATGGTGCGAATGGATGAATTATCAAAACATCTGATGAGTCGGCGTTGAGAGTTTTTGAGAAAAAGGCTTCGCGTTCCCTTCGCGTAGCCAACAACGAATACTGCAGTCGATAGAAGGATAAGCTGAACGAGATATACGGCGAAATAGATATAGTTCAGCGAATCATGAGACAGTGACTATGCTGGCTTTGAAAGTTTTCGACGCAGTATCCGCCGGTGGAAGCAGAGGAAGAGGGGAATGCCAAAACTGCCACTAAAGAAAAAGTTATATGAAAGGTAGATCTATATCTGAGCGCATTTCAGCCCTATTTGACAGTCATTGAAATTGATTTGAACTTTGTAACCGCTGTATAGATTTTTGGCCCAACTCCTCTTTCGAAACGTGTTGTGCGTTTTGATGTTTTTTCAACAAATGGAGTCTAAGTCGCCTCCTAACGGCCGATGGATTCTTTGTGAGTAGCTTAGATCTTCCTCTCTGCCGAGAAGCGAGAGTAATTAAAAAAAACTTCGGACGTTTGGTCAAAACAAGACTTGAACCTTAGTATCGCATTTCAAGTAAATCGAAACATAAATGTGTTTTATTCGAACAAACTTTTTTTTTATATATAGAAGATAATATCATATTTATTTGTTGTCAACAAATTAGCTACTTAGAATTAATGATTAATTTTTTTCTTATTTCAGTTCAATATTGAAACAACAACAGAAAATAGTTTTTAATATAAATACATATGTATGAGTTATATAAATATTTGTTTATAGATATTGTGTTATCTATGGATTAAATATATTAAACATGAGGTAAGCATATGTATATATGTATGTACATACGTATTTACATAAATGTAAAAGCAACAAGCAAGAAAGTAATTTGGAGATTTTGGTCTAAAAGAACTCTTCGCAAGCTTTCTTGGCGATACTCGTACATGCATCCCCTTACCAACAAGCACCATTAGAATTTATAGAAAATATAATTCGTTTACCTTTAAATGAAATTAAATTAAACTACATTTAATTCTATTGATTTTGCGCGTAGCCTAGGCAAAGACCATTGCAGACTTGAATTCTTTTTGGTATGCGTACCGTAACTGTAATGTAATCTTTTTAAATGAAAACAAAATGAAATAAATAAATAAAATTAGTTAAATAATAAAATTAATAAAAATGAAAATTTTTTGGAATGTTTTCTTTTTTTTTTTTATTGACATGTGGTTTTCAAGAGGAACTAAAACGCTTATAATTTAACGTTATGGCCAAGAATTTAGCTTCATTGTAAAGTTAAGCGATTCCGAGAGGACCTATTTACGAACATTCCTTCGTCATCGTCATGTAACTGAGCGTGAGATAGGAGAGAATTGAAATATACCAAAATCAACCGTTCATTATCACATAAAAAGTCTTGGACTGGTGAAAAAGCTTGATATTTGGGTACCACATGTATTGAAAGAAATTCATTTAACACACCGAATCAACGCTTGTGATATGCACCTTAAACGCAATGAATTCGATCCGTTTTTAAAACGAATCATAACTGGAGATGAAAAATGGATTGTTTACAACAACGTTAGTCGAAAACGATCATGGTCCAAGCATGGTGAACCAGCTCAAACCACTTCAAAGGCTGATATCCACCAAAAGAAGGTTATGCTGTCTGTTTGGTGGGATTGGAAGGGTGTCGTATATTTTGAGCTGCTTCCAAGGAACCAAACGATTAATTCGGATGTTTACTGTCAACAATTGGACAAATTGAATACAGCCATCAAGGAGAAGCGACCAGAATTGGTCAATCGTAAAGGTGTCATATTCCACCAGGACAACGCTAGACCGCACACATCTTTGGTCACTCGCCAAAAACTGAGTGAGCTTGGCTGGGAACTTTTGATGCATCCACCATATAGCCCTGACCTTGCACCATCAGACTACCATTTATTTCGATCTTTGCAGAACTCCTTAAATGGTAAAACTTTCGGCAAGGAAGATGGCAAAAGGTTATCGAACAAAATGGCAATTATATATTTGATTAAAGTTCATTCTAAGTTTTATTAAAAATGCATTTTCTTTTTTTTTTTAAAAATCCGCAATCATTTTTTGGGCAACCCAATAAATTAACTGTCTCGTTTGTTGTATGTAGCGTCGTCTTGTAGGAACCGAAGGTCGTACACATCTACATCCTCCTAATCAGGCAGTAAAAAGTCATTAATCATGGTTATATAGAGTGCCCTTAAAGATATGACCGACTGCATTTTTAAAGAGATTTAGCTCAATGATTCCCTCAGCCCATAGAGCACTCCAAATAGTGAATTTTTGGAAGACGTAACGTCGAAAAGCGTGATCGGTAGCGATCTTGTTTTGGGTCCATTCACCGAGCATGCGAAGCACTTGCTGGCCGTTTGATATCAATTTTTTGCACGAATTGGTTTTTGCAAACTCGCAAACCAAGATTCTTCAATAAAGTGCAATTGTTGCGCACAATGGAG